AAAGAGCCAATATGTGTGTTCCTGCCATGTTTTGTTTGCTTGTCTGTTTACACTTGCAATTGTTAACTTATGTGACGAAGCCTGCACATTCATGCATGCTTGCATGGGTTTGCAGGTGTGTATGTGTGTGTGTGTGTGTGTGTGTGTGTGTGTGTGTGTGTGTGTGTGTCTGAGCGCACGCATTCCAGCCCTCCCCCCTGGCACTGCAGAGGCCTCAGAGTCTCGTGAAGTCATTTCCTCTTTGATGGAGGACCTTGACTCTGTGGCTGCACACACACAGACTTACAGCCCTCTAGACCAGGACTCACTGTGGCATCTGGGTAGTTTTAAGATGTATAGACACGTATAGACCGGTGGAGCCCAAAACCAGTCCAGTCTGTATTGTGATGATGGATATGATGCAGTTAGATCGTAGTAGGCTGCAGCCGGGGTGTTTTTAAACGTTTAAAGGTAATTGGTTCGTACTCACAATTTAAAAACCCCACATCTGTCCAGCAGTAGTTCTCACCAACTCAGTATCTGAGGTGACATGTCGCTTTTAAAAACGCATTAATCCTCGGACCAGGTCGGAGGCCAGAGACCTTGTCCCGACCTGCAGAAAAGGAACTCCAAGAATGCTCTCCACTCTGTTTCGGGGATTAAAGGTTGTGGTCAGTTATAGATGATGAAAACAGCTAAATAAACAATCTTGAAACATCTTTCATTCATATTTTTCCAATCATATCCTTTCCTTTCATATCCAAAGCCAGTGATTCCTAAGCCTGGTACCTTTAAGCTTCATTTAGTTTGATTACATTTCAGCTGCACCGTACTGTTTTCACTAATGTGTGGTCTCCCTCCTTTAAGACAGGTTGTGATACTCTGGATGTCATATTTCATAAAAGAGTCTGGCTGGTTCCAGAATTTTGGGAAAAAGATTTCTGATATCGCTCACGTGTTTGTACAGTAAAGTTGTAGCCAGAACCAGCCCCTGGTTAGCTTAGCTTAGCATTAAGACTGGAAAACAGCTAGCCTGGCTCTGCTGTCTTTTTAACCTCAGGAGGCTAGCTTTGCTCCCCCTGTTTCCAGTCGTGATGCAAAGCTAAGTTATCTTTCCCCCTGCCCCAGCTTCATACTGAACATAGAGTGGTATCGATCTTCTCGTCCAAAGTCAATGAATAAGTGAACCTCCCCAAAATGTCAAACTATTCCTTTCATGTGAAACTTAACCAAAAACATAAATATTCATATATACACCATCAGATGGATTTTCTTGTCCAGAATTTTTTCAAAATTAGTGAGATTTGGTATATTGTATCATTTTGACAAATAAACAGCCATTAGATGTGTGTAATAAAAAATAAGAATATTTTATGTACTTTATATACTTTATATATACATATACTTTACTTTGTATCTATTTTAAAATGATTAACAAACATCAGATCTTACTGTAAGTACGATAAAATGTCATTATAACAACACTTGGTACCATACAAGCTTCAAGTCTTTAATGGACTCATTCTAGGTGTTTTGTTTCTGTGTGCTCCTGGTTTCTGGTTCCAATCACTGCTGCAGCCTTCACACAACCACTTTGTATACCAAACAGAATACAAACTATGTTTTGAATATGAATTTCTCCTGCAAAGACTTGCGAATGCACTGTGCAGCCTCCTCTTTAAGGACCTGTGTATATGAGTCAGCCCTAGCACTTGTGCAATATATAACGGTCTGTACATTTGTTTATGTTTTTGTGCGTGCACATGTTTCTTATTAGTCACAGTGACAGCAGTCTGCTAAGTCCCAACCACACCCAAGTGACCGGCTGAGTGAAGAAAGCTGTGGTCAGTGCTGACGTGGACATAAAACTGCTTACAGACAGTGTGCTATAGAAAAGTAAGCCGTCGTTATACGAACGATAAAATATATCAATAATCTATAGACAGACAAAACCTGAAGCAGTGACCAGTAAGAAGAATTAAGTTGTGCATTGCTTGTCTTCATAGTGATGTCGTGTTCCTATAGTTTGTACATTTAAACTGCAGTTTTCCCAGAGTTTTTACTGCATCACACTTCTCCCTTAGTTCACCACATCTCTGCTCTGCATGATACTAATATCTGCTGATGGCAACAGAACAACTGCTGCCAACCACAGACATCCCCTTTTTGGTTCCAACTAAATTTCTGTTCACAAGACTTACTAGCACATATCTGTCAATTACAAGACAAGGTAAGATGAGATGGGAAATGATCCTTTTAATACTATTGTTACTAAAAATAACTGAATTTAGCTGTTTCACCTTCCCACTTGCTGCTGTTACTTGTGCAATATGTACTGACTGGTCCCTAGCATGTTTACATTTTGTATATACAGAAAACGCCCCAGTTTGTCAAATATTGACGCTGTTTTTAATCACATAAGCACAAGTTTCCTTTTATGAAACGCCTTTTTCAACACGTGGTTAATGTTGCGAAACGGTCGCAGTTTGTTTAGGTCAGATTAACACCATGATTTAGGTTAAAATAAGTACATGACATGACACAACTCACGTTTTCATTACTGTGGTCACTTAATGCAAGTCATTTACATGTTATAAAACGTCAAACTTAAAGTGAGTTGTGGTTACACACAGGACACAAACTACAGTCTACTGCATGAATGTCCTGTGTTTGTCAATCCACCCCAACCACAACCACCACGACTTTCTAGTTCTTTACACTACGTCACCTGATGTGGATGGGTTACACTGGATTTAGATGACAGCTCCCTGCATCGCAAACAGGTACCCTGTGTGTCTGTATGGACCAAGGGGTGTGACAAAACGTCGACGAGCTGGTATATAACCATCCACATGATAATGAAAAAATAATTATTGTCAGAAATGGAATATAATATTCATAGGTGTGTAATCACCTGAATATAGAAATCATTCTGGGTTTTTTTTACCTTAGAATGAGACGTTTTTATCTACAGGTCGCCTTCCATGGAGGCCGCCATGTTGAACCGCCATGTTTCTACAGTAGCCAAGAAGGGACAAACCAAACACTGGCTGTAGATAGGGGTGTTTATGTGTTTTAATGCATGAGATTTACCCTAGTGACATCACTATGACATCATTAGATGTTTTTGTTGTTATTCTTTGTATTTTTTTTGTCTGTTTGTTTTTCTAGGTATGTCCTTCAGTAAATACATTATGTAACTGTTTTCACAGGCTGAGTAGTACTCCTTGTGACTAGTACACTGACTTTTATAGACTATGTAAAATGTATCCCTTTATACAATTTTTCTGGATTTTTTAAATGCTTTTAAAATAAATGCACCACCTAAGCACAATGGATATAAAGAGTTATGGTGAAGACAATAAGTGAAGAGGGATATGGTTAGGGATACGGGAAATAGGGATGTAATTTAATGATTTTTTTTTAGGTTGAATAATTGCAAATATTCAGTGTTTAGTTGCAGGATTTAGAGCAACGCGGGCACTAAAAATCTCCCTGAAAACCAGAGAACTAACATTCTTTTCTAGTGTGCTGACAGCTTCATGGCAAGGAAAGCTTCATATTAATTCACTGCTTGGAAAACTCACATCCCTGCCTTTAAGTGAAGAATGAATTATCAAAGGTCAAAGGTCTGCAGGGAGGAACCTCCATCATATCGATGACAGGTCTGGACGAAGGCCAATATCTGCAAAGTGAGCTATTATAAAGACTTCCGCAGGTTAGCTGCAGTGAAAATCTGGGTGAACAAAACTATTTACTCGCCCACCATCCCCCTTGATGCAATCTGAGCGGGTCGCCCACCCGGCAAAGGAGCAGCTCCAATGAATGCAGCAGCAGCAGCAGCAGCAGCAGCAGTAGTAGTAGATTGCCGTAGCAGACAGCATGTTAAACACAGGTCAAACCAAGAAGTCAGAGCGGAGGAGGCTTTTTCCTATCCCAGAATTCCTCACAACCCACACACACATCCTACAGTGACAGCCATCGAGTTCAGCTGAAAGAAAAGAAAGAGGGAAAGTGCAGAAGAGTCTCTGAAAAGGATGACAGAGATTAATCCTCCCGGGGAGTAGATTTACATACAGCAGGAGGAGGAGGAGGAGACGGGGAGTGATTCATTTAATCTGTTAAAAAAAAGTGTTTTGTGCAAAGTAATTATGTGATGTTTTGGTGCTAATTGGTCTGAGAAATTACAGAGATATTAAAAATGGCGAACGGCTGCTGTGGTGTTTTTCTATTGTGTCTAAAACAAGACCCAAATTGCTGTTTTCACATGCTCTGCGGAATGGAAAGAGGGGAACAAAAAAGACAAACAAACAAAGGAATAAATGAGTGATGATCTCTCCCGTCCTGTACCGGCTTCGAGAGAGTGGGACCCTCGGGAAGCACTCACCAATCCTTAATTCCATTTCCCAAAAAAGACTTTCCTATTTTTACCCTGCGCCGTGATGATCCCCAGAGGGAAAGCACCCGCTCCGGGCCGTTTGGTTTTCCCGCAGATATGTCGTCCCTCAAGAAAACCCAAAATAAACACGCGGAAAACCACAAGGATAAATTTGGCTGCTTGTGCGGAAAAGCTTGGAGTCTCCGTGATTGCGCTCTCACATACTTCTTAAAGAAATAAAAAAAATATATATATATAACAGAAGAAAGATAGCTGAGAGGCAGCGAGTTGGAGATGAGGGGAACAAACACAGGAATGGAGAAAGTTGTGAACAGATGGAACTGGATGACATGAAAAGAAAAAACAGAGGCTGATGGGGCGATGTGAGGACTCCTGTCAAAAGTTTGTGACTCACAGTAAACTACAATAAACAGATTCAGGATGAACACTGGAAAAGTACACTCGGGACTGCAATATAAAGATGATAAATGCACCATATCATGTTTTGGTCAACAACTTCCCCCGAGGCTCAAACATCACATGCTTTAAATATCTTGATAAGTTGACATAAAGGAAGGAAAAGATGATACCGACCCAAGTATAAAAAAATACATCTTTACTGTGCCAAAACAAGAAAGGTTACCTCATGTCACTGGAAGATTTCCATCACCTGTTTCTGGAAAACATGAGAAAGATGTAAGTCCTTATATTGAGCTACAAATAGGCCCTCCTGCAGAGCAATTCTTCCTTCCATTCCTGTTTATATGACCTCTGATCTGTTGTATATCTGCCTCGGCAGGAAATCAACCACATGCTTTCCCGCAATGACACACATACCAACCCGGTTAGGACGAGAGGAAGAGCTGGGTGGAATTTATGATTTGAAATGTAGATACAACCATAGAATCAAACAACAACTAAACAAAAATAAATAAACAAAATCTGGAAACTGAATTTAGATGGTGTGAGAGTTTAAGGACGGAATCACTCTGATGAGGAAAAGAGAAAATAAGGAGTTCTGCATTTGGTAAGTAAAAAAAGATGTTTACTGTATGGTATGAATCCCTCCATCTGTCAGCTCCACCCAAAACTTGAACTTCTCTTCCCCAACGAGAAAGCATAATGTAGCTCGATGCCAGACGACTCAAACTGCAGTCAGAGGAATGAAGTGCTATACTTTATAGCAACGTTTTCATCTCAAGAACCGAAATGCATGAATTAGACAAAGATGATAAGATGTTGACTCTCATGAGGAAGGTTTTTTTTGTTTTTAGGTTTGACTCCAGAGTAGGTGGGACATACTGTAAGAATGAATGTGCAAATGAAAATAGTGCTCGTCATTTTCGGTCAAACAATATCTCTAATATGTTCGGTGAAATTCTGGGAAACTATTAAGGGCCCCTGTGGAACTCTGAGTTCACATTTTGGACAGATAGATGAAGCAAAACGATGATGCTCTCCTCAGCTGGAGTGACTCAACAATCTAATTTAACATGGCGGGTATCTTGTAGAGATACCAATGTAGAGCAGGGAGGATCAGATTAACACTTCTTACTCTGCTTATCACTGTCAAAACTGCTCTGGTCTCAGCACTCCCGTTTCTGTTCTGACTACCAACACATCACCAGACTGTCTGGTTTCTCAGATGACTTTAACTCCCTCTGTGATTCACAGGACTGAAGCTAGCAGGCCATCATGTGATGAACTAAAATTGATGGAAAGACTCAAGAATAAACGCATTAAAAACCCCCTCTACAGGATGGTTAGTGTGTATCCTACTGTAGCAGCCTGATGAGCTGGTGATACTCATACACTCAAATGCCATTAAGATGTACACTATGGGGACCATAAATCCTTCCACTAGTTGTCCTGATAGTTAACTCTGGACAAACCATGGGCCGACAGACGGATATTTCATTCTTTGAGTCACGCCACTAGTTTGGATAAAAAATATATCTGCTCACATTAAGGACAATAGTGTCCCCAATAGCCGATACAAGAGCGGTCCTAGCATTCACCCCACTAGTAGATGCAATAAATGGTTTTGTCATGATGGTCATTTTTCAATTTCAGGCAATCACTGATTAGCTACTCAATGCTATTAAGCCACAGTGGGATCTACCACCTGCCTGCGGTGGCCATAAACAACATTATGAAAGAAGTGGGAGTGAACCAAAACAGTTAAGTTTTTTGACAGCTAAACAATGAGCGGAAATGAAACTACAAAACCTGCCAGCAGAACTGAATATTCAGGTTACAAGTCTCTATAGGTTCATCTCCACAAGCGTCTCCTCTCACATTGTTTTCACATTGTCATTTAATATATTGTTATTATATAAAGTTTCGATTATAGCTATTTTAGGGTGTAGCCCGATCAGAATTTGCAAGGTGAAATTTATTTGCAGGCTGTGGTAAAAAGCGAGACAAGAAAACAATGTGGAAAGGTTTGTTAGTGTACTCAGAGTAAGGAGCAAGGTTAGCGCAAAGTCTCAAGTTCTGTGTGAGGCAAAGGAGGCAGTATCTGTTCATAATAGTGAATGCATCTTACCATGTTCCTCATTGAAATGAATGTGGGGAGAGACGCACACTTTTGAACTTCAATTACTAACTCAGCAAAGCACAAATCCATTGAAATGTTTCAAATCAGTCAAAGTATGAGGCTACAGTGCAAGTTTTTCTTGCTTTTTTATTATTTTACACAGAGCTGGTCCGCTGCGTAGGGCCCCGCAAATTTGCAAGGGCCCCATCTCCCCCTCATGCCAAAGAGGGTGTCAGTGTTTACAACTTTGATGAGAGGATGAACGGATTATCTGTCACAAAAAGAGAAATAACACAGTGGGAGTGAATTGTGGGAACAGGAATCAGGTAAAAAATTTAAGCTTGCAATGAATCTCTCCACTCTGTCTGTCTGTCTGTCTGTCTGTCTCCCTAACAGCTAACAGTGCAGCTCTCTGTCTGTCTGTGCCTTCTCGGGCTGTTCTGTGTCTTTGTGTCTGATTAAAGTGAGAGTGAATTACAAATATCTGATAAACGCCAACGGGCAGCAGTGTTTATATGCGTGTGCACAGGATGAAACTCGTGCTTTCCAGCAGCTGTAACGTCTGAGGGCACACAGAGTCCAGACAATATACAGGCGTGATGGCATTCCTCACAGTCATACATCATTTTAAAATAAGATAATGATTATAGTCTCTCAGTCAAGGTTTAGTTGCAACTCTGTAATGCGAGTTTTAAAGCAATGAATTGACATTGACTATTGAATTTAAATGTTGATTAGCTCTGCATACTGGGCAATATTCAATCAAGCCATTGTATAAAAGGAAATCTGTGGGAGCCATTTTGAAGGACCTGATGTGCTTAATCTGAGACGTAAAGCTGCAGTCAGAGCCTGTAGGCGTATGTTCACACTGTATAGACAAAGCTAATTGTACGACAAAACTCTTCCTTAACATGTAAATATGGTCATTAGCCATTCATGATGTAATAACACATCTTCCTGGACAATCAGTTATCCGTCAGTGAATCACTGAAGCACACCAGAGCGGTATTCACACTCCCAATTCAAAAGTAATAAAGGAAAGTGATCCTAACAGAATTTTAATCTCAGTGATTGGAAGTTGCAATGCACCTTGGGAATCCTCCAAAGTTGTTTGACCTTCAACCTTTTAATCAAAGAAACAGATACTTGTGCTGATGATTCAACCATCCACAATCCATCCACAGAAGTGCTTCAACTGGGAGTTACGTAACACTACTTATGGGAAAACTGTTTTGGAACTTCAGGGCCCGGGGAGCATCCGACTTCATAACTCCATGTTGAGTGATTTGTTCGCTTCCATTTGGTCTTCACCATCAGTCTCAATCAACGCCTTTCAGACACCTGTCATGGCATGGTTGTCCATCTCTCCTTTATAGCCTGTTGTTCATCATATTAATGTCTCCACCTGCTGCTGCTGCTGCTGTGTGTGTCACTCCGTTTTCCAGAGTTAGGAAGTAGCAGTAGGTTGGCCTTCTTGTGTTACTCTGGTTATTTTGACTTTTCTACCCCTGCCATAGTTTGGTTCTAACTTAGTTTGTTTGGCCTTTTCCTTAAGTGTCAGATTTATTTAAACCAAGTGGTGAGTCTTTTTGGTTTCATTGTTATTTGAGGAGGAGGAGGAGAAAAAGGAGGAGGAGGAGGAGCAGAGGAGGAGTGTCTGGGGTTTGGTCATGGTCCCTTGTGGTAATATTTAATAACAAACATTAAAAATACCACAGAAATCCTTCACCACATTCCCACGCTCCAACTGGCCAGAACACACACACACACATGTTCACATCAGCATGCAACCACACACACATACTGTACATACCCTGTATACATACCGATGAGGCCGTCTATCTGTCTCACTTGCACGGATACTGTACACACAGACGCACAGATGCATTTATTCACATTCCCATGCAAAAATAAAAACACTTGTAGGGTCACGCAAGCATCCACACACACACACACTCACATGCATTTGCACGTGTACACGTGCTGTTGGAAGAATCAGAACACATACACAACATAAAACAGTGTGTGTGTGTGTGTGTGTGTGTGTGTGTGTGTGTGTGTGTGTGTGTGTGTGTGTGTGTGACATTTATAGTGAAAAACTGCACAATAGAAACTCTCAGCAAAACTGTCAAACACAGCTACACAAAACATAAACCATTCAACACACTGGCTAATGTCAAAATGCATGTGCACACACACACACACACACACACACACACACACACACGCACACAGGAAAGGAAGGAGTATTGACAGAGGGCTGTCGCAGTCACCCTACTTTTTGAAATAAAGTCTTCAAAGAGGAAAAGTGTATGAGTGAGATGAGAGAGTGTGTGAATATGAGAGAGAGAGAGAGAGAGAGAGAGAGAGAGAGAGGAGAGAGAGAGAAATAAAGAGAGATACAGAAAGAGAGATACAGAAAGAGAGAGGGGTTTTGGGTTCACCACTCCGCTCCCTCGCTCCTCTGGGTTTTCACGATCATAACCCCAACAATGATTATCACCTATTAAAGTACTATTTACTGTTATTATTACTCTAGTGTGAGTGTGTGTGTGTGTGTGTGTGTGTGTGTGTGTGTGTGTGTGTGTGTGTGTGTGTGTGTGTGTGTGTGTGTGTGTGTGTGTGTGTGTGTGTGTGTGTGTGCCTGTGTGTTCGTCATGTCGCCAGTGGCTTTCTGACCTCGTCTCGAGGTTTGGTGATCCCTGCCAGAGATTCCTTTCCATCCCTCCCCCCCCCTCCATGTTTCACATGTGCGTCAGCAATGTTACCGCAACTTCTCTCGTCCCCTCTCTCTCTCTCTGTAACCCCATGATCCTTCTTGTTTTAAACACCCCACCCTCTTGCTTTCAACCGTCACCTCTTCAGTCTCTCTGCATCTCCCTTTTTTCCTCTTTTTTCCTCCCCGTCATCTTCCTCGCCTCTTCCTCTTTTTGACCCTTTCTTTGCTTCCATCTTGTGTTTTTCCTCTCCCTCTACTTCTGCTGTAGTAGAACCCATTATTCCCTTCTTCAGCTCCAAAAGAGTCCCAGTCAGCTGGGTCCAAATACAGCCTGTAGTCTGCCCTCAAACTTTCAGTTTCATATTCATAACATTTAGCTGAAGCTCTTATTCAGACTGGAAATTCCAAAAGTACCATAAATCTGTCTTGATTGGGGAAATGTAGTCTAGAATGTTTCATTTTAAAAAGACATCTGCATCACCTGCAGCCACAATATATATGCTGCAGGGATGATGTATTTTTGAACCAAGAAGTTATCATCACTGTAGTTTCCTTTGACAAAAGGCCAATGTGATTTCTTTATGGGATTTTGGATTATTGCATAAAAAAAGCGAACAAAGTTTTATGATACTCACACATTATGTTTAGCAAGATAATCTTCATAAATGATTACCGCTTTTATGATTTTTCATAAAATTCACCGTTACATGACTTCACGTCACCACCACTAAACTTTAACTGTCTGGCATGATGGCATTTAATGTCTGTGACAACCTCTGTATTCTCATAATCGCCTTTTTTATGACCTGTAAAGCTTCCACAGGTGGGGTATTTGGAGATGGAAGTTTAGGAAATATGGAATCATAGAGACTTGTATGGTTTTACTGATGTAGATAGAGATCAGAAGGTTGCTGAGTTGATACTATAACAATCAAAAACAAGGAAGCTGTAAAAGCATGTAAAAGCAGCTGCTTTTACATGAGGTTAGAATTTGACACAGACAAACATCTAAAGAGGTTTTGACAGTAAAGAAGTGAGGGACAGTGATCTGCCTGTTTCACAGCTTCCCTGAACGGCCTGTTTGAAATCACACCAACAAAGCAACATGAGGAATGAGAGCAAGCAAGAGTCCTGAGTGGAGCATTGTGTGTGTGAAGCAGTCGGTCACACTGTGTTACATTTATTGTGTAAAGGTGGCAGGCGATGTGAACCCAATCCACTGTGAGAAACAAGGGGTGTAAATATAATATTGAAGACTTAACTCCTTCTCTCCGATCGTCTGCCACCACAGCTGTGGATGTCGGACACTTGGCTGGAGGAACAAGAAACTTATTGAGTAAAACTCCTCCTCTGCACTCCACTGGGAAAAGCTGCATAGCACTCCGTGATGGTGATGTGAAAATGAGAAATGAGTAAGAAATACTGGAGGTGACTCCCTTCTGGGGTTGTTCTACAGTTCTACATAAACTGTCCTCGGGCCAGAAATACAATGTATTATTCCGCTGTTGAAAATAGTCCCAAACAAACGCACTCCTGTTTGAGTGATGTTGGCTGAAAACTACAATGGCCAGCAGTTTAAGGCTCTAAAAATGACACTACACATTTGGGACTTGCTTTTTAAGAGTTTTGTCTTTATTAGGAACTAATGAGCTTGAGTTCCACGGACAGGCTAGGGAAGAAAGTCCAGCCTTGTCCTTTAACAAGAAATAATATTTTAGATTTCAGAGGATAAAGCAGCAACAAGGAACTTACATTTTTTGTTGATTCTGGCGGCCCCTGTGGACAAAAGTGGTAGTGATTCCACCACCTCATTTCAATTGATTTCAAGGGGAATCTGACTGAATCTAACCTGGAGGCAGGCCTTCAGAATAACAATACAGACATGGTCTTCTTGCTGTGTAGGTCATATAGAGACATCAGTATTAAATTGGCTGTTGCATGACCAGTTAAAAACTCCTTGTACAACATTTAAAAGTCTCAGAGGCTCGGTTCTGACAAAAGGAGGAAATACTGTGGTTTGTGTAAAAATGGTCAGATTCTAAGATCATGAATGTGTCTCCTTTCCAAAAACACTGGTTTTGGCGTTCAAAAATCAACATGTGCCCCTCCCTTGTGTATAGGGAATATAACTTCCAAAGTAATTGGTTGAAGAAAAGTGCGCTCATGTCCCTCATGTGTCTGGTTAAGTGGAAGTTCAGCTTACGCCCCTGAATTCATTTTCAAAAGAGAGCTCATCAAGTTCTGATTTGCCACAGTGTTACGACATACATACTGTAACATCGTCGTCAGAGCTGTTTCCCAACACGGCTGCGTGTAGTAATTATGCAGGAATCTGACTGTAAAAACCTTTCAGACGCCTCTCTCATCCATAACCGTAACTTTGGTTTGTACGAGACGCGAAAGCCAGTGAGATAATAGTCAATCAACACCAATGCAGCGTGAGCGATTAGCATCTGGTTGGCGGTCGGTGGAGAACTTAATATGGGAGAAACAGTTATTATGAAAACCGCAATGAGTGCAATATAGTGGAAGTGTTGATGGCAGTTTATTTCAAGCCTGAGAACACAGTCATCCAGCCATGAGGAGCTGTGTCATTAGGAAAATACTCACTAAAGTGATGCGGTCAAATTTGAAGCTGAACAGTAATCACAAAAATATCAGCTAGTCAATCAGTGATGTTCTCCTCTAATCAAAACTCTCTCAGCTTCTTCTCTCTATCCTCTGCTCTCTTCACTATCCCCTGTCTGTCTCTCTTCCCATGCAGGTCCACAGACCTGCATGTGAGGCGTCTCCAGCAGGGTCACATGGAGGAAATTGCCCCTAATGTTGTTTGGATGACTCTCATCACAGACGGGCCAAGCTCTCCATCATCATCATCATCCTCCTGCTGACCAGACCCGGGTCAGGGAAGGGCCTGCGAAGCTAACTCCTGAGCTTGGGCGGGGTTTGTCATAACATGGGTGAAATGGGGAAGTGTCAGATTTGTCTGAAATCAAAGAGAGGTCTAAAATGATGATTACACTTTTAGACGTCCGAGCTTCCCCGGGCTCTTGTTAAATTACTCTAGGTTTAACCCCATGTATCTTGAAGTGTACATCATGTCCAAGAGTCTTCTTCAATTTCCTTTCATCGTGCCGCAGCTGCAAAAAACGAAAAACCAGCAAACCATCAGTAGAAAAGTGAACGCAAAAGCCTTTACAAACAAGGAATGTCCATTAATTTGTGTGTTGTTGAAAGCCTAACAGCACTATGGCTCTGTCAAACACTGCGGATGGGAACATCTGAGTTGACAATATTTAGAGTCTGCTGCATTTACAGTATGATTCAGACAGCATCGGTTTGGTCATCACTCACAGAAAGTCATTGTTTTAGCTGTTTAATCTCAAATTATCAACAGAAACAGCATAAGAATGCTTCCCAGATGGGTCTGTAATAACACAAAGAAGTGAACAGAGAGAACGTCCAAGAAGTTCATCCTCAGAGTAATTTGTCCCTCTCATTGTTCTCTTCATCTGATGGATTTTTAGCAGTTAAAATTCCAGTATTTCACAAGGAAAACCGCAAAAGATGTGATAAGGTTAAGATAAACATGTTTTAGCAGAACAACATGTTTTTTTTTCTTCTCATATCCCATTAAACATCTTAGAGTATTTGAGATTGATAAACAAACAAAACAAAAAAGAGGCTGTTGAATGAAGAAAAATGAAAAAACTTTGCATCCGGATTCTGCCCGAGGAAGAGCACCGAGCTTAATAAAGATTGCAATCGAGGGTAACTGCCAGTCCATTATATTCTGTATTTATGCATATCCTTAGCGTATTTAACTGTCTCATATTACTGCGTTCAACAGCTCTCCTCTGCTTTGTGTTATAAATGACCCCTTTGAAAAGCAATCGTCCACAGCTTTTCAGTTTGGTGTATATTTTAACATAAACCATCTTTTGTATGAGATATTTTGTTACTAATCTGACTCTAGAAATAATGACACGACATTGGTTTGTACGCAAATCCACATCCTGTTTAAAGCAAGAATACATGACCAATAAAGAATCTCGGAATTTTTTACTTTGTGACTTTAAAGAAGTGATAAAACCGGAGAATAGGGGTAGTGTGTCCTTTGTTTGCATCTACATGCATATAACAAGTCTATAAACTGTTCATGACTACGACAGCCTCTTAGCGTCCTCTACTGACCAAAGACGTGTATGTGCACCATAAAACTCCATTCTGAATAAGTGGAGAGCTGATGAAAATACATTTATGCTTTGTGTGTTTTCCTCCATGCCCATTACAAAAAACACTATCCTCTTTTTGAAGTCTTGGCTTTTCTTTTTTTTTTTTTTTTTTACCATTTTAACAATGTTAGAAAAACACAATGGAGGTGAAAGGAATTTCACTTGTGGTGCTCACAGCATCAATAAAAAAGACATTTAAATATTTGAAGAACAATGCGCATTTCCTGGAAGAAATGGTCTCAATTATTCTGAATAACCCACAGACCTCACTGTGAACAAAGTCCCATAAATAGTTCACATTGTGTTCTGTGGATTATTAGGGGACAGTCTTTCTGGAAAGATATTGCTGTTTGAATTTTTTTGAATAGAAATGTCCTTAATCTCCATTCTGAGACAGATATCTCAAAACCTGGGCAAGTAAAACCAGCTTTTTATAAATGCAACTGGTAAGTAAAATGTGTTTCCAGGATTGGGTGAGGAGAAGCACAACAACCCCCTGAGACAAAACAGAAACAGGAACACGAGGGATGCTTTGCATCATTATGTACAGCTGTTTTATTTGTGATTTCCCCAAAACATTATCAGTATTTTACTACATACAATGCATGTAATCAAAGTACAATGGATCAACTTCAAAGACAAGAGCAAAAAGAAAAGAGCAACACAAAAAAAAAAAAAAAAAAAACAGGCGGTGATTTTGACCACGAAGAGAGACATTGGTTAAGGTACTGTATGTATAACACTATTTCTTTTATACACGGTTTAGGGCTATTGATGGTGCCATCAACAGCGACGCCATGGCAACTGTATCTGATAAAAAGGTACGTTTCTGCTAGAAGCACGGAGGTCTGGTGAGTTTTACTGCATGGTGTGCATGTGTGAAGGTAAAGGTACTTATCTTGGGACTCTGCTGAGATCAACTATAAATTTTTAACTAGTTTTTTTCTTTTGTTCTCCTAATGATGAGAATAGTTTATGCTATATGGGAGGCCACAGTCTGCTGGACATTCTTAAAAGAAGAAGAAGAAGAAAAAAAAAGCTTAAATTAGGTCAAATTAAAATTTCATGAAGTTTCAGAAGTGCATCAGCACAAGTCATCTAAATGATTTTTTAGGCTTTAGAAATCATTGATAAATCAACTGAGGGGAATAAATAGAAGTACTGAATGAAACAAAAGAACAAACCAGCAGAAAAACACTGACGTAGCACATCCTACACAGGACACGCACATCCCACGAGCAAGCTACCGTTGACTCACACAACCAATACAACTGCAGAAACTAACGAATGCGTGGATATAAAGAGGAAAAAACAGCTACTGAAACTAAATGAAACTGTCTTATCAGCAATACGAAGACAGGTCCTCCTGTATTCTGGTTTAAAACCCCTGATATTGTCCCAAAATAAGGCTGTGGGTTCTAGGCACACCAAGGTACAACTGAGCTGAGCAATATGTGCATTTGTTTTTTTTCTTTTAAAAGACATGAAACTTTCTGTATGTACTGGATTAATTAATATTCAATTTATTTCTAAGCACCTGGCTAGCCCAGACGTTCACTATCGAGATTAGACTCTTTTTTTTTTTAAAAAGAAGAAAAACAAAGATGATGACAACAAATCATTTTCAGACGTCACACGTTTTGCTGAGAATTAAGAGACAAATACACAAGTGCATCATTGGCAAAAACTGCTGGTGAGGGAGAAACAAGTGCACACTAGTGTGCGTTGTGTGTGTGTGTGTGTGTGTGTGTGTGTGTGTGTGTTTGCTGTGTTCAGTGTCTTGTCTTTTTCAGTCAGTATGAGTGTATGTTTGAGTGCCGTTGTTTAAGCGCATGTGTGTGAGGAAGCGCATATTTAAAGAGGTAGCAGAGAAATGCAATCAGAGCAACAGATGACAATCCGTCTCGATTGACAACCATCTGTCTGTTACGACAGTAGAAAAGACGACTCTCTCCTCGGCGATTATATTTCATTGCGAGCCACAGACCTTAACCGAGACCACTCCGAACAGAGATCTATTCAAGAGTCGAAAAACAGCTAAAGTTCAATATCCAGTCCGTTGATTTTCATTTCATTTTTCAGGATGCAGATAATTTAAGTGTAAACATTTAATCAACAAAGAAGCTTCCTAATACGTTTCAAATGGCTTTTTTTTGCTATCAGTCAGTAGACAAATTGGGTGTCACCCTTTCCAAGTGAAACATTTCATCCTTTTCCCAAAAGGCTATGAAACAGATATCGTGTTGATGCAATAAACCGATTGCAGTCAATCTCAGAATTTCCATATCTGCCCAAAGCTTTCCATCAACAGCAGCTGGTAGTAAGAAAGGAAACCTAGGAGAGCGTTAACTTCCACATGCTGTGAGCCGAGTCGTGATTCATTAGTCGATATAATACAAGAGTGATTACTAAAGGCTTGGTGTGTCATTCACAGCATATCTTTTTGAAGGCCTTATTTTCTAAAAAGCAGATGTGAAAGCAGCAGATAACCAGAGAAAGCAGTAAAATAGCGTTAAAACAGTTAGAAGAAGGCAGAGTGCTGAGATCGGGCTGGAGCGGGTGTGTGAGGCCTGGCTGGCTGCAGAGTAGAAAAAAAAAAAAAACCCCAACAAACACGCACACTGTTTGTATCTAGAGTATCTAGATCTAAAAAGGGATCCCAATGTATCAAACCCTTATCAGACGTTTGAGGAAAGCTACAGCTAGAGACAAACACAGAGGAAACCTGCAATACCAAAGCGAAGCAGATGGAGGGACACCAATGCGTTGGGTGTTAGGTTCAGGCCACTACTTTTTACATTTTAGGACAGAGCGGTTGTCTAACTCCCGCTCTCCCTTTTATCTGAGGCGGTATGAATCGATTCCCGAGACCTCCATCCCTTGTCTTTGATTAGCTGTGTGGAGCTGAAAGCCTTTCGCACAAGCCTGATCGAGAACAACTGGCAGCCCTGTGGAGTCCCATCGGACAAACACAACAAGTCTTCTGGCCAAAATCAGGTAAACACCTGGTAGTTTAGTAGCATCAGAGTATTTCCAAGGCTTTGCTTAATTCAAGCAGGAGCCGAGTCTCTGAAAAGTGCACTGATGAGCACATCCCCTCATCGCCTCCGTGGTTTTATGCTACATTCACACAGCAGGCTGTCAGGCTCAAACTGCCCATCATATCTGAGATTTGTATTCTAGGATTCTCTACATTAGCCAGCTTAATAACACCAGCAGTCAGTGTTTTTTTTATGGCTTTGCTAATAGAAAGAAAAGGTCAGATTTTGGAAAATATGCTTTCTTGCTGAGAATTCCCGAAGAAAAGAAGATACCACTCTCATATCTGTATGCTGATTATGAAGCTACAGCCAGGAGGCGGTTAGCTTAGCTTAGCATAAAGACTTGAATCAGGGGAAAACAGCTAGCCTGGCTCTTTCTTTCTGTTGTTTCCAACTGTCCTGCATGGTAAAGCTAACTCAGCCATGCTAAAACTCCACAGATCCAAGTTGTCCCGAGGGAAATTTAACATATTAGATCTGTGTCACATATGAAATGGTGAAAAGAATATGGGCACTTTCAGCTGCTATGTGAATGTAGCCTTACCTAAATGCGTGTTTGTTACAATAATTGTAACATGCATTTACACACTAAAGAGGCCTCAGATTTACGGACTTTAAGATTTGTAGGCTTATATTGAGATTTGAGGTAAAAATCATCCAGCATTTGAAAAGAGAAACGAGCTAAAGAGGAATATACTGTACACATATACACAAAAAAAAAACCTTCTACATTAGTGTTAAAATAAGAATGGATGCTTCATCATAAACACAATCATGCTGCAACAACAACAACAACAAAAAAAAAAAAATATATATATATATTTATATATATGTGCGGAAGGGAGAGGTAGTATGTTTGGTTAAACGCAGCGCCAAAGCTTAGCGGCACGTCATCTTTTTGTAGAGACAACAAAGACAGAAAATACAGAATGAGGCAGAGATGAGGATCAAGTGAGTAAAGCAGGAAAAACAGAGTTGACAGTTAACATTTAGAAACATTGGGATCCGCTCATATTGACTGGTCTACTGGCAAAGAGGATTCTACTGGACAACCTTCTTCTTTATACAACTGGCAACTAGTTTACTGTACGTCTAAAAACGTAAAAACACTGCAAAGGTTGCTGAGGAGAGAGTTGTGGCGTTGTCTGTGTGAGTGTGTGTCTGTGTGAGTTTATGTCTGGTTCCCTTAAAGGCTATTGTGAAAGGTCATCCTGTAAATCACTGAGGTATCTGTTAAATGTTTTCCAGCTGAGTGAGGTTTCTGTACGTAAGGCTACTGAGGTGGAGCTGCTGACCTGGGTTGAGGGGACGAACGGGTGAGAGGGGAGAGGCTGCTGCCTTGTTTGGGTTCGTTTGAGCGCCGACGACCTCTCGCATCATGCTCATGCCAACGAACGGCGTGCAGATCCTGATCAAGGTCTGTCTTGCATGATGTTCTCTATGTATGACCCGAAAAGCATCCAATTATCCACGTTTCGCTCTCGGAACCCTTAAAGCTGAGCAGACCCTCACCCCCATCCCCCTCCCTGACCATTAAGAAACGAATGATGTAGATGTTGGTGTTAAATGTAAAAAGTCCACTTTTTGTATGTTTTCATTTCACTATTCTTAAACAAACAATCTTTTAAAAATCTGAATATCAAGAGCTGCGACGCGACACACACAGAGTAGTGAGAAAGGTAATGTCACACTTTGGGTTTAGGAGGCGACATCTCGTCAGTCACTGCACACTCTGGCTGTACAGCACATCACTACATATCTCATTTTAAAAAATACTTTATCTCCTAAGATCTTCTATACAGATTCTACACAGTCTTCTGGAGGTCCAATCCGAACGTTGTCTGCGTCAAACAGGACAAAGGAGCCATTTCTGCATTGTCTGTTTCACAGTTAAGTGACACGTCCCAATTCCACATTAGCTGTTCCACCAAATCTCCCGACTCCCATCAGCCCTTGGTGCACCAGTTTTTTGTTTTTTTTTTCCCGAAAGCAGAGCCTTGACTGGCTGCTGAGTTAAAGCTATGAAGAGTAATCCTGCTGTAACTGGCAGAAGAAGAGGCGGTTAGATGGTTGGATGATGGGTGATGAATGAAGAGGCACGCCCATGCTGTCGCTGCGACTCCTTGCCATTGGCTAAATCCTGTGTCAGTCAGTTGAGGCAGTGTTAGTTCATGATCACTTGATTGTGTTTGACATCGTACGTCTGGAAAAGTAGATGTAGCTTTTTTTTCTCCTTTTTCTATTTATTTATCTATTTTTTAAATATAGAGCTGCGGACTGCCTTTCCATTAACAAAGAAAAGATTTAGCTCCACCGAGTTCCTTTCCCTCAGGTCACAGCTCCAGGTGTAAGACGGCTGCAATGACAAGTCGTTCTTCATTCCATTAGAAAAAGTAAGGAGAACGGGGCCAGTGTCCCCCCCCCCCCCCTCCTTGCCCAAACAAGAGAGTGAAGCCACGTCACTGGTTGAACGGGGCTGTTCTGTATTCACTCCCTTGAAATGAAGGGAACAAGGGAAGGTGAGCTGGTTCATTTGCACTTGGTAAAGGCTCCAGGAGTCCACTCACACTCATCTCTGCTTCATTAAAACAACGTCCCAGCGCAGCAAGCTAAAGCGCTAGCTAGACAGCAAACTGACACGCATTAAAATTGACAATCTTGAAAAGAACAAAAAAAAAAAAGAAAATTTTCACCAAAATGAAAACATTATGGATATACTGTATAATTGTCAAAAGCTTATCGATAGACTTTAGAAAGAGAGAGATAGAGAAAAGATGTACATCCATAAGCTTGGAATGGACAGAGAGGACACTTCCTGCTGGTACTGAGTTGCTGGGTGCCTTTAGAAGGCTGTTGGAGATTTAACCATGCTCACACTCACGGTTTAAGTGTTGATGGTGCACGAGACTCGGCCGGTTGGAATGCTCAACATGACCACCACTGGGAATGTTCAGTCACAAGACGCCTTTGCAATTATAAAAACACACCAGATTTCCGAGTCCCATCATTACACTAATAAGAGCGTCATCCAAAGCAGGGCTGGACTATTACTGGCCCTTTTGTTGGGGACTTTATTGGCCAGTTTGATAGGATAATAAGAACGTTCTTTCCGAATGTTCTTCCAGGTGTGTTGGTCTGTCCTATTTTGTTGTTATGAAATTGATAACTTTTGATTTTGCTGAATTATTGGCCATGCTGGTTAAACCCAAATCCGGCAGCCTTCTTCACTGCAACCTGAAACAACTCTGTAACTCTGCCAAGACTGCCCCCTCTGTCCATTCTAGTTGAATACAACACAAGAATCCATCTCCTAATTGCATATAGTGCTGTATCTCCAGAGCATCTTGCCATCAACAATTGAATTCTCTTACTATTTTGCCTACATTAATGTCTAACTATGTACAGACTTAGCAAGTGGTATTTACAAAGTTTGTCCACAAGGGGGTGATCCAGGCCTGCATGAGGGGTGAGCATGCACTGTGTGTCGACACAAACGTGATATGATATGTAGTGATGTCCTAAAGTAAAATCCTAAACCTCGCTTATGTGGCTGGTGTTGAAATGATATAAATGTGACAAAAAGGTATGAGGCTTGATTTTATATTTAATATAAAAAAAAGGTTCTTTCTCATGTTTTATAGGTCTGCTCTGCTGTCAAGAGCATCTTAGGGATATTATTCCAAAAAATCTTTATCTTGTTTAACTACTGTACATTGCTACCCTCTGTAGAATATTCACTTTGCCCTGAAAAAACAAGCCAAACTAAAGTTAAACCTGATATTAATCGCTTGATGTTTTAACACAGATGACTCTGTATTTTAAAATGTCGCCATTCAATTGGTATGTCAACTTTAACACTGATCTCCAATGGATTGTACAATCATGCAAACCATACCATGAGAGGAGTATTTAATTGAACAGATAAGCTAAGGAATGAAAAAAATCTTGTAGTATTTGAAAAAGTTTCACTTTTAGCTTACTTACGCTGTTATTTAGTATGATTAGAAATCACAGTGATGCCTAGAGCTTCAAAAACAATCTCTGTCTTATGATTGTAAGCTTACGCCACACACACCATAAACACCAGGTACACAATATCATCAGACAAACTTTTCCCTGAGGCAACAGCCGGTAGTCGGTTTCTGTCCAACTATCTAGCTCTAACTGTCTTAGCAGCAATCTAACCAGCCGAAAAATTGTTTTTGGATAACTATCCATGAAACATGACGTTTTGTTTGCGTATGTCAGTCTACAAACTTCACAGGTCCAAAAACGACGACATCCAACGGAGAAGTGCTTCCCAGCACTGAACCCCCAAGCTACAGCCTGTACACACACCCCCTTGTGGTCCATCAGTATTCTCGTATTCTGTACACACATCAAAAAAATAGAAGGACTCCTCACACACTTCTCAGTGCTTTCTTATGTGTGTGTGTGTGTGTGTACATTTGTCATTTTTGAAAGATGACACATACACACACACAACTGAGGAGGCGCCTTCAAATCCTCTACATTAAACAACACTCAGAACCATTTGCTTCCATGGAAGCAACCATGTTTCACTCCCTTAAATATATATATTTATATATATCAGCTTATACGTATCATTTATATTTATATAGCATTATACATACATTCTTGTTTTGTGAAATTCCCTTTTGTCTTGTGAACAGGGAATTCCAACTGTAGCATCTCCCTCCATCTATCCAACCTCCTTTACTCATTCCTCCACATCTCACATTTCTTCCCACCGTTCCCATACTGAAACATTCCTATTTAAGCTTCCTGTCTTCACTTCAGCTGAGACCTCACTTTGCACATACACAGATAAACAGGGCTAAGCAGGAAAATGCACCTGCCAGACTCCATCTTAACCAAGTATTAAACTAGTAAACTAAGTATATCCAGTACATTACATTAAGCTTGCCTATGGCTGACCATGCTGATGTTTAATATATTTGGATACCTTTGCTGTCAACAAACTGTAACTCAACAATAGTTCATAGCTATCTAACACTAGTGTAGTAACATTGCTAGCGATTTATCTGTACCTCACAAGTGCTGGCATGGTTAATAGGATGTAAATCTGTGTATCTATTCCTGTTCCATCACTGCGCTGATGTGAACATGGAACAATGTTATGAGGATGATAGTAAAAAGGGATGCGACAGTCAGTGATGTCTGGGGGAAAAGGTGGTGATGAGAAAAGGCTGTTTTTTTTTGAGTTTGTGGATGTGGAGAGAATCGGGATGTCTGTCTTTTCCATATGTCTATGAGTCAGGACATCTGCCTGATGTAATGATATTTAATGCTGTACGGGGTTTGAGAATCCAGATGTCAAAATATAATCTGGTTATCCAGGTGCTGCAGAAATCCACAGCATGTTCAGGTATCTTAAATCGATAAATCCAGAGGTCCAGGCATCTGAGTTTTGCTGCTTGAGGTCCGGAGGAGGAGGAGAATGGGCAGATGATGATGGTTACTGTCTACCTATCTTATTATCCATCTTTCTCCCACGTGTCCAGGTATATCAGGGCTGGGGTTTTCTTGGGGAAAAGGCGGTAAGGGTTGGTTAGTCATCCTTGGTGTGATGAGTGTGTCTATGTATGCGAGTGTGTCCCCTTCCTCCTCTGCTATGACACCTCACTGCCAAACACCTCCAGCACGAGCGGGGTGAGCTGCATGCTGTGCTCAGGCTGGAAGGAGAGCGAGCGGTACTGCTTGGAGTGCTCCTCGTTCAGACTGCGCAGGTCGGCCAGCTTCTGGATCATCTTGGCGTAGAGGAGGCGTCCGCCTGGGTGGTTGACCCGGATGTAGGCCTGCAGTGTCTCTGACATATGGTCCTGGAGCTGCTCGATGCGCCTGTGGTCCTGGACACCGGGACGATCTGCCACAAGAGAACGGCGAGGGTGAAGTGGAGGGAAGTCACAAAGAAAAAGGAGGAAGGCAAGTGGGTGGGCAAGCAGAGTCAGGGAGGGGCACAGGGAGGAAGTAGAGGAGAGGGAAGGTGGAGGAATGGAAAGAGAAAATCAGTCAGTAGAAAGAAAAAGGATTGTAATCATGGTCTACGGACATGTTTACTGATCGCACAACAATACCCTTAAAAAGGTATCGAGCAAAATAACCCAGTAACAAGAAGTATTGAAACTTCTCTAAACAAACGATATCTACGTTCCACCCCTTTTTGTACCCATATCTAGAATCTTGTATTCGTCCAGAGAACCATTGAAGGAATTGTCTCAACATCTGATCTCAAATGAGCCTCTTTTTATATGATTTCTATTCATGGACATCTATATGGCGACACTAGAGATATATTTCTTATACTGATGACTGACTTATGACTGAGATTGACACAAATTGCTTGATTGATGATTCATTCATGCTTTCATTTATTTTTAAGGTTTTGGTGCTTAGACAGCAGTGTAATAATGTTCCTACGACTTGAGATAGAAGGCCATAAAATTAAAATGTGGATATCACATTTATTAAAATGTCTCATTAACTCACAACAGTGTTAGATAGTGGAAATAAACAAGCAATGTCTGAGATAGCCTGTATAATCTATTGTTGAACAGGCCTAGCCACCCCATGGCCTCATTCATTGATTATGTTCCTTTGCTGTTTTCACCTTGTCACTGCAAGCTCACAAATGTGAATTCCCGACGTAACTTCATACTTTAATCTGCTGAACAGGACGTCTTCCAGGAGAAGCTTTTTTCAACCGTTACTGGCAGCATCAAAAGAGCACTGATGCCTGGGTGAATCGAGGTCAGCGAGCAACACAAACTCTGTGCTTAGCAGTCAGTCAATCTGCTAACAATCTCACTCTTAAAAAACAAAAATGGCTCAGCTGGAAATACACCTACACCGCGAACACGCAAACGAACACACAAACACAGGCAGTACCTGGGGAGAGCAGGCAGATGGCCATGAGCAGCACGTGTTCCTCCTCGTGCAGGTTGAGTTTCTTCAGTCCAACCTGGAACTTCACCAGCGGCTCCAGCAGCTCCAGAGTGTGACCCGCTGTGGAGGACGACACAAACATAGCGTCAGGTCTCCAGAAGCATCTTCTCACGCTAAGACAGGACTTATGAATGCAAACACAATTTATGCAGCGGTGGGCTTCGAGGAAGAGCCATTACTCTCTGTGTGTGTTTATACACTGTGGACAGAGAGCATTACTTCCTGCCCTGCATGTGTGTGTTTGTGGCCGCTTTATTGCTTCCATGAAAATACCTGAAGTCAAAACCTCCTAGTAATGTGAAAGTGTGCGTAGAAAAGCAACGTGTGTGGGTGATCCTTGTAGGACCGTTATATAAGGTGGGAGGAAAGAAAATAATCACAGCTGTGTCATCAGCTCCAACAATGAAAACTTCTCTCTCCTTGAGTGTGTGTACTTTTGTGGTTTACACACACGGTACAGTAGTATATCAGTTCTTCACAGCATGGGGATCCTCATGTTTCCTGGAGACAAGATTTAAAAAAGCTCCACAATTCATCCGGCCTATTATCGATAAAAACTCCATGAAGTCCTTGCGCCAGTTCTCCATACTAAAACAATTTGGCTTACGTTGTTTCCAGTTCATTAAAATTATCTGTTTAGCTGATAGAAAAGCCAGGACAATAATACTTTGTACAGTTTTGGGTTTCCATATTCGCACCTAATACACAGGTTATCGGGCAGGGTTTTATATCTATGTTAAGGACACGTGACAAGCTTTCAATAACATTCAACCAAAACCTCTTAACAGGAGGGCAGTACCACAGTAAGTGCATTAGTGTACCCTCCACCTCACAGCCATGCCAGCAAGATTTGGATAATGTGTTATCAAATTTATTCAGATTGCAAGGTGTAATGTAAACTCTGTGTAATATCTGTATCTGTATAATTTTGTATCTGACACACTTTGACACTTTTGTACACCCATATCACGTTCCCATTGTAATTTAGTTTTGGAGTTTCTGTCAGGAGCAGCAGAACATAATAATGTATACATTGCTGAGACTGTACCTTAGCAATTCCCCTTAATTTGTTTTCTTGTTTTTTTATTCCCTATCTCTTTGGAGAGTAAAGGTTTCATGACGGTAGATATGACAGAAATTCTGTATCTATCAGTCCAAATTGTAATTTTAAGTCATTAAACAGGATCATTTTGCCATCACTAATTACTTGGCCCAACTGACAACTTACTTTATTCTTAAGAGGTTTACCTCCTATGTTAAACAAGGGATTATTCCACAGTGGACATGATGGTAACGATGTTCCACTAAAGTTCAAACACTTCTGGAGAATTTTGACTACATCACATGAGAGCTGTAAGGCTGGATTATTAATTCTGGAAATGGCTCTGGGATTATACCATACAACTGTTAAGGTTATGCCTTTGTTATAAGCTTTGAAAATATTTTCCTCAAGCCACTCCCAACTGCCAATCTCTCTAACACCGGCATAGGCCCACTGCAGGGGATATCTAGAGTTAAATGCTATATAATATTGGTATATATCTGGAAGTCCTAATCCTCTTTTAATTCTTGGGTTGTTTAATTTTTTATTACTAATCCTAGGTTTTTTGTCATTCCAAAGAAAACCAGAGAATCATTTATTTATTTCCTTAAACCAGCTAGGGGGAATTTGAGCGGTATAGAAGACATGAGAAAAGCCAACCTTGGTAATATGTTCGTTTTTATGACTTCTGATCTTCCCCAGAGGGATAGAGGTCCACCTTTTAATGTCTTCCCTGACTGTTTTAAGAAGTTCTGGTGCATTTATATCAACAATTTTGCTAATTGGAGATCGCATTTTAATTCCTAGACATTTTATACCTTGGGGGGTCCAAGTGCTTTTATCCAATTTATACATACCAGGCCAAAGCCATATTTAGACAACACATAAAAAAGATACTTCCATTCCACTCTTATTATTATTATATTTATTAATATTATTATTACTCTTACTATTGAAGGCTTTCTCAGCATCCAGCGACACAGCTATGGCTGGGTGCTAATAAGTCTCTGCCCTAGCCATTACATGTAGAAGCCTCCTTATATTATTTGATGCCATGCGACTTCGTATAAAGCCTGCTTGGTCAATATGTATCAAAGAAGTTATGACATTATCCATTCGCTTTGCAAGGATCTTTGCAAATCATTTGTAATCACTATTTAAAATACTCAAGGGTCTGTAATAACTCATTTGCAAATGGTCCTTGCCTGGCTTAGGAATTAAAGAGATAGTTGCTTGGCGCATGGTTAATGGCATGGATTGACTGATTAGTATGTAATTGAAAAGCAGCGTTAAAAGTGGTATTAGCCTGTCTTGGAAACATTTATAAAACTCAGCTGAATAACCATCGTCCCCTGGTGTCTTACCAGTTGACACAGATTTAACAGCAACTCCTTTGATTCCCTTCCTTCCTCACTGAGGGTTGGTAAAAATATGTTTCTGGAAAAGTCTTCCATGTCATTTTCACTAGTGGAGCAGTCTGATTTATAAAGCTTACTATAGAACTTTTTAAAGACTTGATTAATTTGGTTTTGGTAACAAACTAAAGACCCATCCTCATCTTTAATACTTGTAAGTGACCGGCAGTTTTCTTGCCGAGTAATTTACCAGTAATTTACCAGCCTTGTCACCGGCCTCAAAGTGTCTTCGGCGTAGTTGAAAAAGAGCAAATGCATTTTCTTCATGTAAAATTGTTTCTAATTCTGTTTTTATAATCATCATTGAGTTCTTTAATTGAGAGTTATCTAGGTCCAACATATGTCTTGATTCTAGGGATTTAAGTTCCTTACTCAGACCATGCTTCCTTGCGTTTTTTTCCTTTTTCCTAGCTGTTGAATAGCTTACAATCCAGCCTCTGCAAGTTGCCTTAAAGGCTTCCCATACAGTCTGAACTGACTGGACTGATTTAAGATTAATCTCTATATACTCCTGTATTTTTTCATTTATCATAGACACAACATTTTTATCTTTCAGCAAAGAGTTATTAAATCTCCATTGTTTAATTTTATTGTAAGTGACGGCAGGGGTAAAGAGTACTGACAGGGGAGCATGATCTGAGAGAATAATATTATGTATTTTACAATCAATTACATTGCTAACCAAGGACTGAGAGAGAAGCAAGTAATCAATCGGGGAATATGAGTTATGAGCGTGGGAATAAAAAGTATATTGATGTTTGTCAGGGTTAACAACACGCCAAATATCAGCTAGCGCAAGGGAGTTCCGTACTTCTGTTAAGGCATTTGACTATGCTCCATCTGTTGGGAGGGGACGTCCAGACCTGTCCAGCAGAGCATTACTGACCATGTTAAGATCCCCGCCCAGTAGGATGGGGTCACTTGCCATTTCTGACAGCACCAAGTTCTATTTAGATTAAAAGGTATTTTGTCCAGTATAGAGCATTACTTCCTGCCCTGCATGTGTGTGTTTGTGGCCCCTTTATTGCTTCCATGAAAATACCTGAAGTCAAAACCTCCTAGTAATGTGAAAGTGTGCGTAGAAAAGCAATGTGTGTGGGTGATCCTTGTAGGACTGTTATATAAGGTGGGAGGAAAGAAAATAATCACAGCTGTGTCATCAGCTCCAGCAATGAAAACTTCTCTCTCCTTGAGTGTGTGTACCTTTGTGTTTTATCACTGCACTGTGGCCTTCATGGAAACTGAGGGAGGACACGACGAAAGAGAGGAATGGGTGTATTGAAGAGGATGTGTGATCAATAAGCAAGGTCTCTGACGTGCTCTGTGTGCTCAGTCCTTGTGTACGTCTAAACATGTTGCTAATGTGTTAATGTACTGATTCTGCAGTTAATTTGTTTCACCAACCCTTTGTAACATCATTGATGCAGTATTTAAAGTCGGGTCCTCCGCAGCTCCAGGACATGTCCTCCAGACTGAACGACTGGTTTGAACGCAGCATGATGATCTCAATGGCACTCGACTTCAACAGAGCGATCTGGTCTTCTGCTGTCAGCTCTCTGGAAGGCAGTCACAGATACAGTGTGTTACTGTATTGTAACCGTATTAATGCTTATAGTCAGACACTGGCATTGTCAGTTTAGCGCTCTGTTCACAGATAGGATTTAAGAGAGTCATGGAAGGTGTCTTTACTTCCGCTTCTTTATTTTGCTTTTCAAGTTCATGGACAACTGCAAAATTGTTATTGTTATATTGCACAATACTGTAACAAGACACTGAAGTACAGAAATACCAATGATATATTGGAGGTAGTATTGCAACAGTGTAACCATTATACTGTCTCTCCACCAGAGAGCACTGACAAGTTTAGTTACATTCTATACATATCTTGGCCATCTTAAAATTAAAAAAAACTAAATAACCGAAGGGATTCTTATCAAAAGCATTTGTTACATCATGTGTTTACGTTAAAAGATGAATATTGGCTGATGTTGTTAACAGACTATTTCTTTTTTTTTTTGTCAAAAAGTTCCACATGACCAACATAAACACAGCATGCACAATGATGAATATATTATACAGTTACTGTAGCAACAGAGTGTCCAACTCAGGCTGTGTGACCATTAAAGCGCACACACAAGGACAGCACACATTCAGACATTCTGTGTCATCAGCATGCTTAATACTCCAAACATTTAAGCCCCCTATATTTAGTTTAATATTTAGTTTACACAGAACTACAGTCTGTGAATCTCCACACAGCGACAGGTAACTTTAGGAAGAGCATAAGTCTTCACCAACACTATCATGGAAAAAACTCTAATGCACTTAAAATGAACTCATCACTTCACAATTTATATACTCAGGTTATATGCTTTTTTTTTCTTTTTGTCATCTCAGCTCATTATTTTGTGCTAAACAGAATGTCCTGTCCTACCTTTAATTTTTTTGTTTCATTTAAACAAGTTACAAATGTGTAAGAACATGCAAACATGGAGTTATTCCAGGGAAGAACTGAATATAGTTTGAATCACAGTTACAGTATATGAGGCACAGATAGAAAGTAGCTGTCATTTTCATAATATTTATCAAATGCAAAGACCTGACTTAAAAAAAAAATTATGACAATTACCCGGCAGTAAATGTGCTGCTATTAAAGGCCACAAATGCTGTTGAAAGAATTTATTAAGAAAGAGTGGAACACAATTTTCAAGAAGTGCTTTTTCAAATTAGGACCCAGAGATAATTCCCTGAGGGTCAGAGGTCGGAGTTAATCTAGAGATCTGGGATGGGAAACACCTCTAAATCAATGCAGACCTGCATGTTGTCATATCTTTGCAGTAGCTTGTAGAAGAACAAAAAATCCCAGTCTCTTTTATATCCTCATGGAAACCCCCTTAACACACAGCTGAGACTCAGCTCCAAACACGCATGTAAATATTAAGCTGTCTGCACATCAACAATTATTGTCCTCATTTCCATTTCTGTTACAGAACATGCAAACACACGTCTGCATTATGTATATCCATACTGCAGATATGTCTTCCCTATTATTTTATAATACAGTCTCTGTGTGTGCATACATTTATAAACTTAGCTCTCAGCTCAGCGTGTCTTCATAAAGCTGCAGTCTGTTCCAGCATATTCTTGGAAGAGCTTGTTTGTTTGGGAGTGATAATAGCATCTCACTTTACCCAATAATCTCCCTCATACGTGTAGGCAGCAAATCAATGTGCTCTGCACGTGGGTGGGGAGCTCGCTCAGGCTGCTAGCCTTTGGGTCTGTACGTGCTAGTGGTTGAATGCAGCAGAATTTTACCAGTGAACAGAGGTAAGAGAGTTGAATGTTCATCAGGAAAGGAATATGATTTATGGCATGGGAGGATTTTAATGTATATTGCATATCAATATGAGAGCCCTTCTGAGTCAATGAAAGGTGTTCCTGCTCAACTCTAGGTCGAAGTAGGACACTCACAACAGACCATTAAAACTATTTATTTATTTAAAGTTGCATTACTTTTTTAACCGATTCATCTGCACAAATGCGCAATTTATTTATTTGTAAAACATCAGAAAATAGTGAAAAATGTCCATCACGAGTTTGCAGAGCCATCATCAAACAATATTATTAAAGACAAACAAAAGCAGCAAATCCTCACATTTTAGAAGCTCGAACCAGCAAATGTTTGGCATTTCTTATCGACGAATGACTCAAACGATTAATCTATAATGATTTATTTTTCCTGTCTATCCACTTATCATTTCAGCTCAAAATTAAATTTGATCAAATCTTTCATTTGAGATGCATTAACACTAAAACTGTCTTGATATTGTGATAAGTGATTTATTGCTGGTAAATTAAAATGGAGGTCTACCAATACTAGTTACAAGTCATTTATTCTTAACGCCCCACTGTGACATATTCAATTCTGACCTTGTTAACTCCTTGGATAAACAAAGACACCGTGCCAGACAGGAACGCATGCTGGTGCACTGTTTCGAAAGTCAAACTCAATCACTGTGGTGTGTGTAGTTTGTACCTAAAGCCTGGGATCATCTTGGCAAAGCCTATGACTTTCTGGATGCTGTAGGAGACAAGGTCAGCCAGGTGGGGCAGCATGGAAAGCTTTGTGTCCTCCTCACTGGAGTCTGGACTGCTAGCGCCGTCTTGGTACATCATCAACAGGCTGCTGAAGTTCATTTTGGTCTCCACCGACTCTGTTTTAGGAGGGGAGGAAAGCGAGGAGAGGGGAGAGGTAGAATAAGGAAGTGATTACTGTGAAAGGAAGTATTTCCTTGCACTCATATACTCTACTCCTGGGTTCCCTGGGTCCATTAACAATGAAGATTTAGTTTTGAAGCTAAAATGAGCAATATTAGATATGAGAAAAATGAAATCTAAATTTAAAACAAACTCAGACGAGTAGAAATATAAACAGTATGGTGCAGTGTCTGAATTGGACCAGCACCCTAATTCAGTACAACCCTAACCCTAAACACAGACAGTGCTGTTTTCTTAGCGTTAAGCTAGCTATGTGTTTACATGGAGACTCAAATATGCCGGCATTTAGGAGTACCTCAACAGCATTGCTGTACACAGACTACACACACTGTAAAGGGATGTTCTTTTTAGGCCATTATTTCACAACTTATATTATATTGTCTACACTGAAATGGTGGAACAAATGTGACATTTTTGTATGAAAGGCAATTTAAAAGCCTTTGGTTTGGCAACCACAGATCTTTTCAGACCTTTTTAGGCCTATTAATATTCTGCCGCATTCACAAGTAACAACATAAAATACGTTTTTAAAATTGCATTAAGCAGTCCCAATCCTGGCAAACTAAGTTGGATATCAGACCGTTCCTGACCTGAGCACGGCAAAGAAAATACACTAAGCTCTTAGCAAACACATAACAAAACAAATTAATTTCATGGGATAAGTTCATCAAGTATGCATAGACATGTGCTTGTTGCTCAAGAACACAAGTTGAATGGGTTGTCATTGGTACACTAAAACTGAATGAAAGCAGAGGCACACAGTGGGAGCAGAGTTACTGCCTATTTTTGTTTGTGTGTGTGTGTGTGTGTGTGTGTGTGTGTGTGTGTGTGTGTGTGTGTTTTTTTTGTTTGTTTTTTTTAAATCAATGGATCTCTTCATGACTGTGTCCTCGGTAAAGTTAACCCTGAAGCATGAAAATGGAACAAGGACATGAAGAGAAAGACTCTTTGTGTATCTTACCAGGTGAGTGGTTGAATGAGTCAGAGGAGGCATCAGACAGAGAGTGAAGGGAGGCGGCTCTGCTGGCGCTGCGTGTTACTGGGCCTTCACGTACTGGAGGCTGCGGATACACACAGAGAAACAAACATTAATATACTCACTGTAATACTTTGACAGCTCAGCGCACTGCCGGGCTCTTCCTCCTCCTCTTGGGGGCCAACTGGAGCTTAGGAATCAAATCCTGTACGAATAGTCACCACACACCAGGAGCCTCACCAAGTTGCTGGATATGTTCTCTTTACTTTAGCTGATGTTACACATTTGAAGGGGTTGTTTGAGAAACATGAGTTAAAAAGTTAACATTTAGGGAGCTCCATAAAACCAGAAGTAATTACTGTAAATGTATTGGATTATTCTTATCCTTATCCAAAGATTCAAGTTAAAAAAAAGGTATGATATTGTGTGTTTTTTTTCTTAAATAGAACAATTGCTAATAATTTCCAAAGTTTGTTTCTTAGTAAGTTAGTTCCTTAGTTTTTTTTAGACAAACTTGAGTTCAGTTTTTCAGTTCGAGTTTTGGTTTATTTTTAGGATTACTTCATCTGGCCAGGTTCACACTCAGACGCCCACAGCTCAATATCTGGGAAACTGAGTTATTACGTATCTACTACTCAACTGGAGTGTGGTTATGGCTGTCTGCATAGTGTCTGCTAAATCACAGACACATGGAGAAGTGTTTTGAGACTTTCTCAGATGTTCCATCCAATCAGTACCCCCCTCCCCCCAATCTAATTTACTCTGGAAGACCCAATTGTTGTGGTCGGCAGAGAGAACGTGGTCTAAAAGTATCAAGTTCATGATGTGGAGGAAGAAAATACGACGCCGCTGTCGGACAGATAAACGCCTCTGGTGACTCGTGTTACGGGTGTCAAGTAAATTGAAAACACACACAGGAGATGGTGGCTGACGTGTTGGTCTGCAGTAAATATGTCTGTGGTTACAGACATTATTTACAGCTATCCCAAGATAAGTGATAGACCGATTAATCGGGCCAGTTATCTGGTAATTTGAGATAATCTGCATCAGCCGCTCATGAGGCCGATAAACAAAAAATGTCTGTAGACACATCTGCTTTGTCTGTGGCTGCTGTGGAACAATGTGAGTTTTGGGAAGTAGTGACAAAAGTTAGTTTCAAGCCCTTCAACTCTCATGCATCCTGCTGTAATCTAATCTAAAACCATTACTGGCTAGGATTAAATATATATATTTGTGTAGAATAATGCAGTTGAGTGATGTTTCTGACATACTGTACCCTGTTCTACCTTAAATAGCATGTTCTGAAAATCTGATTGTAATGTGTTATACCATGGCCACTGGTTAATTTACACATAACTAACCCTGATCTCTTTCTGATTTAAAGATCATAAAATATAGATCCTGAGCCACAGGGACTAAAGGTCATTTGGATTGCTAGGCAACATCTAGCTGGACAGGAAGGGGTTCACAAGGCTGGGCTCAGTGAGTTAAAATCCTGAAGTTTTGGAGAGAAAGCTAAATGAACTGATCATTGTCAGAAAAAGGAGAATAACATTACATTCTGCTAGATTATATTAAAACTAGAGAAGGTGCATCCCTGTCTTTCTCATGGCGTGTCTACACAGGAGGTGGTGTTTCAGCTGCGTTTTTTAGTCATCTGTCTCACATGTGTCTGTGGGAACAGATCTGCTCCTGTTTCAATCAGTAGTCTAGAGTCTACAGTCTACACTTTTTATGCTATAGGAGTATAAATTTGAGTAAATAAATGCGGATGTCACTCACTATTTGTGACTTCTGCACATCTCCTTATTCTCTGTGCTGTCTAGTCCCCTCCTGTCTCTCCTTTCTTGTGCAGCTGTCCCTCGGACTCAAGTTATTAACTTCACCATGGCTAACATGATTTCGGTTCTCTATTTAAGTCTCCTAAAAACCTGTGGTTATGGGCGCCTGGATAGCTCAGTGGGTAGAGCTGGCGACCCTCGACCGAGGCTGAATCCTTGCAGCAGTGGCCCAGGGTTCGAATCCGACCTGCGGTCTTTTGCTGCGTGTCATCCCCTCTCTCTGCCCCGATTTCTTGTCTGTCTTCAGCTGTCACTATCATAAAAGCCCCAAAAATATACTTAAAAAAACCCCAAAAACCTGCAGTTAGTTGGTTTGGACAAATAATGCGAAGCCTCATTGTTGCCGTCTTTGCTTATAGTTTAAAACTGATGCAACAATTTTAAAGTACAAACAAAACCCCTACATCATAGGTGTGCATTTATACTGTGTGCTAAAAGTTAATATGCACCTTCCAGTCAATCTCAATTCTCATTGGCCACGGTATAAAGTAACTGCTAGAAAAATCAAACATGAAGAAGTGGCAGTCTTTCCTGGTGTTTAAGCTATAATTGTAGCCTACTTCAGCCAATTACAGTCATGGGTACAAACTAAAAGAGAGAATCCCAATGTCTGTAGTGTTGTGGTAAACCAGTGCAGATGTTATCCATATCCTATTATTACATTTTTATTTGTTTGAACATCAGTATTTAACTTCCAAGGAATTTAGTTTCTCAGGTGGCAGGCTGTTGACTTGTAACTACACTCTTTCAAGTAAGCTGCCACCATAGAAACTAAATGTACAAGTGCGTTTCGTTTCTGTATCAATTTGCTTTTTACTGAAGAATGCAGTAATATGGCCTGATGCGGTGCTTCAGGGAGCCTTCCCTTCTGTTGCATGACATCATGACCAGCTCCACCCATCTTCATGGTGGAGAACAAAGTGATTTTGGCTGCACCACTGCCAGTGTGGTTTTGGTAAAGGGTGAAACTTTGTACTGAACTAACCCTGAAGCGGGAGAAGTCAGAATAGGAGGCATCATAGGTCTTGTGGTGAGCTTCCACCAGGGAGGAGATGATCCTGGCCTGCTCGTCGTTCAGACGTGGCCTCATGGCCTCCCGGGCTGCCTCCTCCTCTTTCCTCTTCATTATCATGTCCTTCTTCCTCTGAACCTCCTCGTCTGTCAGGATGACTACAATAGAGGATAAAATAGGGGATTAGTAAAAAACGTTGCAATACATTTTGAATGTGTTTGTGTGCAGGTTATTTATTTTAGTCAAAGATTGTGCAGCCCAAAGAGAAGAATGAAAAAAATAAACAGTCAAACAAATAAAAATTAGCATTGAATACACCTGATATAAACATTAAAATCTGTATTTTGGAATTCTGGAATGAGAAATTTGACTTTTTACTTGTTGTAATTTATCAAAAAGAAAGGATTTAAAGGAAGAGGTAACTCTATTAACGTCCCAAATATCACTAAGATTTGTAATTGTACTGGGTTCCTCTCACTGTGTCTAATTTAGTGAAAGTACAAAGTATACACATGGTGTCAGACACTGTCATGGCAACACACTCTTTACAACATCAGCATCACAGTAGTGTTACACTAAGGTAACAATTTCAGCAATTAGAGGAGCGTGTGAAGTGTGTTGTTGTTTGGGCCATAATAAGGCAAAGGCAGGCGAGAAGGTTTTCAAGCTCATAATAAAATATTAGGGATGCACGATAATTATCGGGCCCAATACATTATGGGCCGATAATGGGAAATTTCTATCATTAGAAATTATCCAAAAACAAAATAAATTACAGCCAATAACTTATATTTTATTTTGAATTATTGATGGCCTTTATGTTCTATGAAAGCCTATGTTTTTGAGCTTTTTAATGAACGACTAGAAAAATAAATGAACATTGAAGAGTCAGAACTGTTGTTTGTTGTTGTGTTAACAATAGTGATGTCAGTTGTATTTGGTTAGAACAGAACTATGGAATATTAAATGATCCATCTTTGCTCAAAACATGTCAATCTTTCCTACCCTGGGGTGTGTAAAAACTACAGGTAATAAGCTACTTCTCTTTTAAATACCAAAATATAAAATTATCGGTTATCAACCATGAGAAGCAGGTATCGGTTATCGTATTGGCTGGGGAAAAAAATAAATCATATTGTCTATCCCTATAAAATATTAACATTGTTGCATCAAATCCTTTAGTCCATTTGTAATAGAGTGTCTCATACTGCTTGTTGTCCTCTCCTCAAGGTATTTTCTTTTGATTAAACCAGGTACTTCAGTTTGAAGAAAAAAAAGGAAAGAGGGAAAGTGAAACTATGAGCCTCACAGAAAGGAGAGCAGATGTTGTACCACTTGAAGTATTGAGGTCAAGACAATTATTAAAAGCAGTTTTATTAAAATATATGTTCTATATAATAGTCTTTGTTCAGTCACAGCATAATAGGAGGAATGTTCAAATCCCAAAATATGTCCTGAACTGGCTACGATGACAGGAATAATGAATTCAGTTTTAGGATGGATTGTGGAAGTGCTACTTGTCAACAGTAAAACAAAGTTAGCTTTCAAAAGGCAAGGGAGCTGTAATGTAAGCTCCAAACATTTCCATCCCAGGTTACATGAACTATACATCTTCCCAGTTTGGCACGCAGAAAAGGCCTGTCATGTCTGCTTCCTTCTCATACAGCTGATGCGGCGAGTGTTGGATGTTTAAGTGCCTTTTGCCTTATTCATGCTGCAGAGTGGCACAGTGGTGCAGAATGGATTATACATACTGTTTATAGTAACTCTTTTAGGTTTGACTAGAGGAGGGGTTCTTTTGGGAATTCCTGGGTTTGCGTGCCACTTCCACATGTCTTGGAGCATTACATTACTTTGTAATCTTATATTCACAACACTCATTATTTATTACAGATCACAAAAGATTTATATCTCTCTCTTTTGGATTCAAACCACAATCCACTTCGAGACAAAGAAAAATTATTGTGCATTTATGTTTTTATATTTTTCAATAATTTACCACTTTGGCCATAATAAAATGTCACTGTTGTAATGAAATCTATTACATCTTTAAAGTTGGTTTGAATAATTTAAAGACAAACAATGCTAAAACAATGTCTCCATCTTTAAGGCACACGGAGTAGGATTTGTCAGTTGATGTTTGAAGTTAAACCGTCCTCCCCGGCTTACTGAGAGAGAGAGAGAGGGTGCAAAGGAGGTCGAGCAAGCTACAGAGTGAATGAAAAGGGGGACTTTTGGCAATATTATAGTACAGGCAAACCTCTGCCCTCACATTAAGATGCCGTTATTGGGAAGAATTCATGCTGAATTAGTGTCAACCCGTCCTGTCGCTTTACACATCGACATTAACAACAGACCAGAATGGAGCAGAACTGGAAAACACTGGCATCCCTGCAGTGAAAATAGGGTGTGAATGACAGAATGACTGACGCCAAGCAGTGATAAGTAGCAATTTAATATGCACTGAAAATTCAGCTGTGGTGGGTCTGCCATGAGTGGGTGAATACAGCAGCAGCACCGAGTAAGTCATATTAGCTACAGCACCTCAGTCTATTGGCTTTCTAAAATGTCTATTTTAACTCACACTGCAGGCCGAGTCCCAGGAGGTCTTTTTATGGCTGGTATCTCAGAGCCCCCATGAGATCTACCAAACCCTAAACCAGACAGCCACTGTTAGTCTAACTGCTCTACTTTAAACCGTTGATGTGGTGAAGCTATTTTCAGCACGCAGGCTGGCATCACACCATTGCACTCCGTACACTATTTTGACAATATTTTTCTTTTCAGCAAAAGACTGAGCGACAAACATCTGGATGTGTGTTGTTGAGTGGCCACTGATGGTGTGAAACAGGAAATGTGCTTTGCCTTAAGAGACTTTATAAAATGAAAAACAGGCGGCTCAAATGTGTGGATGTGACATCTGTAATGAGGTGGTCTATAAAAAGTAATTCTATGTTACATTTACATACACAGCCAGTTTACTACTTATACTGAAACATCTTTAAGCACTATGTTACTGTCATGGTTTTAATTGAGTTTAAGTAGAGCCCGAGCCAATAACTGAAATATTCTTTAAATAAGTTATTTGTTTCAGAACACAGACTTCTGGATGCCTCTGCATATTCATAGTGGTGCACAATCCACATAGAAAAAGTTTAATTCATTCCAGCTCAAAAATTAAATATATCAGTCGGTCTGTAGTTATAAGATTATACAAATCCAGAAATACAAATCATGCATGTAAAAAAAGCCTGTAAATGGTCGTTATAAAGGCACAAACTGAACAAACCCAACCACATACATGGCCATATATTAAACTTTCAAATGTTCTGTTCAGGTATGCAGTTGTCAGCTGTATGTTTTAGAACACAATGTTTCTGTTGAGCACAGAGAAAGAAGCAGGAAGAGTGTTATGTCATCAGTGTTTGATGTCATTGCAGACAATAAGAACACATACAATCCCAGCATGCACAGGAAACTGTACAGTTATCACCAGAACAAATATTCACCACAAAAGCAAACAAAGACACAATATCTGCTAAACCACATTTCATACCTTCGTCGCAGCATCTAGCAAGTTAATTAAAGAACAGCACTGAATGTCAAAATACAGTTTAATAACATAACAGAAAATTAGGCACTTCAGTGGTATTTTAAAATGTGTAATCTTGTCATCAAGATCTGAGACCTGGCTCTGTGGGTCACTGTAGTTACTGCTGGAGTAATGCACTGACCCCTGAATGCCTCGGCCCATATTATCCTTTTTACTCTCTGCCGCAGTGACCGATTACCCATGAAGCGCTCAACTGTGCAGACAGACAGACAGCATGACTGCCAGACAGACCGCAACTGCCAAAGAGAGACAGGCCCAGAGTCATGAGGTCACAGCACGCGCAGATACGACGGCAAGTCTGACACTCTGGCAGCTACAGAGAAACTATCTCACTATTCATGCTTTACTGACATTAAATTTAGCTTCATCAAATGATGCTATTTGCTTAGGGTTGTAGGCATGGCATGTACCGTTTTTAAGAGATAGAGACCTTGTTCATGCAAGCTGAATGCAAAAAAGCTCCTTACACTCTTTTTTTTTGTCTTATACTGAAAAAGCTGTAAATCTCTTTAAATGATCTTTTAACTTGTTGAACTGTCTTCATCAGTTAATACAGCAATGTCTGTATAGTTTACCTGTTACCTATTCCTAAAGTTTCAAGTGGCAAACTACAACGTTATGCCTTTACAATGGCAAGCACACATTTGAATCAAAGGAATAAACACACCAAATAAATACATACTTTGTCAGTAACTGCTAAATTTAAGAGACCAATGAGCACTTCATACTAAATACTGGTTGTTTTCCTGGAAGCTGTAAACAACTATATTTGAAGTGGATTTTCGGTGATTGCACCCTGGATTGCAACCACAGAAGTGGCGTTACATAACCGCATAATGTGGTGAGTACGACAACAACAACAACAACAACAGTTTGGCTACACAGGCTTAAGAAGGCAACTAAATGAATTTGACTGCTTAGCTAACCAAAGGATTTACTTGGCTTTCATCTCTTTTGACCCACCGTCATTAATTAGGCCTTGGCTGTGCTCCAATGTCCATCCAGTCCCAAGCCAGGAGCGGACTGCCCATAACCACTCCTTGTGGTGAGGACATCCAAGTATGCAGCCTGAAGACCAATCATGAATGGGCACAGTTTGGTCAAAGTTTGGCACAGGCCGTCAAAGCAGCTATTCTGAGGCCGGGACATGATTGAACCAGTCAGCATCCAGCCAAGTTTGGGCGCTGGATGGCATCATTAAGGCAGAAAAAAAACAAAAAAAACAACAGACCATCAAAGGAACATCTTGACCACCCCACAGTGCTTGGCAGACGAACAGCAGTTCACCAAAAAGAAGGTTTGCTGTTTGGAAAGCGACTGATTGAATGTGGTGATGTGGTGCCCTGCATGGCAGAAAGGAGCAAAGAAAGAAAGGCAGAAATAAAGGCAAACAGAAAGGGTTTGGCCAACACCAGTGATGCCAGAGACACTGACAAAGAGGGAAAGGCAGAGTCTCCCTGTTGTGGAGGCCAGAGGTTCACAGCGGGCTTACTCATTAACCAGCCGACCGACCAGTTAAACACAATGGAGGTAGCTAACACTCAGATTTGGTGTGATATATGTCAAGCCGGATTTGGTGTGTAGCCAATACTTTTCACAGTGCTGCCCTGGGCCTGTGATGTTCAAGAGGTAAAATCAGGTCAGCCAGGCATCAAGGCACCCACACATGCCGAGTTTGACGCAAATATGGCTTATCAATAGATCAAAATGGAAGTGCACATGGTGGCAGGAGGGTGTAGAGTATAAACACATTAGGTGGTACTTATTGTGTCTACTCAGTATTTTTAAAAACATTTCTATAATTCATGTGGGCTTTTTCTAACCGCTCACGCACCTGTGTGTCTTATCAGTTAACATGTCAGGATCTTTCTCTCATTTGAAATTAATTTGCTGGCTGAGTTGCTGTTAAAACAACTACTTCACGAGGGTGCAATGAGTAAAAAATGTGTCCACATAAGATGCAGAGAGCTTATTTATAACTGCAACTTTCTTACAAATATGACATCAAAAGAAGCACACAACATTTGATTCTGAGCCATCAATGCTTAATATTCTGGATCAAGACCAAGCCTTTGTTTTCTGGATGCCTACACACCCTCACTTGACATGTTTTTACACTACCTAACTATAAATTCACATCTGGCACTTATGGTAATGCAGGTGTAAAGGTGGCCAAAGAGAAAGAATACCAAAGACTCGGAGGGACGACGAAGAATATGAATTAGGGAGGCAAATAGAGGCCAGCACAGCAGGAGAAGCTCTGCTGCTAAGAGGCACTGAGGGCGGGAATTCATTCATCTAAAAAGGCTGAAACGTTTCAGACACTCTCCTGTGATTCTAATCCTGTTACAAATACACACCGGCGCAAACAGACAAACACAGCAAGCAAATACATACACTCACACTCACACACACACACACACACACACACACACACACACCTCTCTAACCTCTGTCAAATGAGGACAGCGTAGGGGTGTTTACTACGAACTCAGCTGGCACAGCTCACAGAAGGCACACACATACCAACAAACCAACACACAGTTCTGATCTGTAGGTGGTGAAGCTTAGACAAAGGCGCCAATTTAAAGAAGGGCTAGCACAAAGGCCGACACATGCATAAGCACAAAAAGTTTAAATAAATTGTTAATTAATCTTCAGAGATGTTCATGAATATAATATCTCTTCCATTAAAAATAAATAATTAAACTGGGAAAACAAGGTATGAATACATCTTGAAAATCATAATAGCAATGGACTTTAAATCAGTCTCATCAAGCCACAAAAAAATTATAATCCAAGAAAGATGCATTATTCCAGTATGAGTACTTGTCTGCCAGTGCCGGAAGATACTGTGATTGATGACAATATCTATTTCCTCAGGGTACAGGAGAAAATCCCTTTCCAAGCTAGTCAGAGTCTTGTTTGTCATTGCTGTCACAAGATTTACAGTGAGACAGATTAATGAAACACATATAATTAACTGTTGACTCATAGGAACAACACCAAGAGATATACACAAAACATTCAATGTCAGGAGTCCGTCATATGAGCAGCTTATACGGGTCACAGGACTTAAGGCATAACAGAAACTAACCCAAACAACAACAACACGGGGATCAATCATGCCCCATGTCATCATTATTATCTCCACATGCTGGTCTGTGTATGTGCACCCATGTGTGGGTACCGTATACTGTATACTTGATACTGGCCTCTATTTGTATTTTATTTGTTAGACACTGCGTTACTTTGTCCACATAACCAAAACCCAAAAGAAATGTAGAACAAAACGAGGATGCACACAAAGTAGACACAGGTGACCTAGTGATCCTGGATTTACTTATTTTAAACAGGAAAATAGACCCAAACATGGGCCAGGTCATGGCCAGATGCACAAAGCCACATCTACACAGAGGGAGTGGAGGGGCGAGCTGCAGTCAACACTGTCCATGCGCCAGTTATCCACATGGTCACAGCCCCTTTTCCAGTCCATAAAGATTGTCTGTGTTACAGCTATAAATGCAGGTGTAATAAGGCACTGTTCATTTTGCTTTACATTCTCAATGCTGTCTTTCTACTACACATGTGGCTGTGCAGAAGGGAATCTGTACATTTTTCAGGGAAGAAAGTACATTTCACATCACAGTAAAGCCATATTAAGTGCCAATGCATTTCTGGAATAGACTGAATCCTTTTTTTTAGTAAAATAATAATGATTTGTACTGCTTAAAGTGGGTAACACACAGTAGTATGTGAAGCTGCCTGGTTTTGGATTTCCGGATCTGAAGTGCATAATAACATTTTGACTATTTACATCACACAAATCACATAATGCAGATGAACACATACCTGCTGCCTTCAGGCGACTGTGATGGGAATTAATCAGATTTAATAATGTGAATTATGCTTCTAATGTCAAGCACTAATTGCTAGAGTAACACTCTGCTTTCTTCTCAGCGCTACCCTGGAGTTACTGTCTCTGAAATTATAGTTGGCATTAAATAAATCACATTCTTGAAACAGGTTTATTATTATTGCATACGGTCAGGTTTTGTACAGGCAGTGCAGCATCTGAACAATGCTGCTGCCTTTAAGTTCTGCACACTGTAGAGCCAAGCAGAAGAGCGGCTAACACTCCTTCCACTCCCTCCACCCCATGAACCCGTATACAAGCTGTGAGAAACAAAGAGAACATTATACACTAATAAAGTGTCTTTCTCCTCCCGCTTGTTCCTCTCTCATCTTTCCTCAATAAAACGCAGACACTTTAGTGTCATGTGGTTATTTATGGTCAACCCTGCCCTGCATCATCTCTGTTTCACACACGTACAATCTGCTTGTGAATGAAATGTGGGCCAGACCATTGTGTGTCTCTTTGAAGAAAGAGAGCCATTGTTGATCAGGACTTTAACCCCCCCTACGGCTTTCTTCCTTCCTTGCCTTTCTCTCATTCTCCCGTTGTCATCTACTACTTGTCATGGTTATGCTGATGCACTGCTGTTGGTCTACTTCCTATAGCTTTTTTGTAGTTACTGATGACGCAATTAATGGATAATGTGATAATCTGCCCATCAAGCAGAATAAAGACACCCCTCTATAGTCATTATGAATTAGTTGTGACAAGGTGTCACATTCTGTTAACATGGGGTGAGGTGATGTCTTACTTTCCCTTTGCAGCGTGGTCTACTTGTATTACACCCTGCTACTGTATGAATAAACAACATGGACTGTCAAACAGCCTTTCAAACATACAAGACCATTTCAGTCCAGTTAAGCTACAATACTACACTTTGATTGATCCCATCAAACTGCACTGATGGAAACCCCATCTGGTAGGATAAAAGCAGGATTAAATAGATATTATTTTAATATTATTTTCTGCTATTATTTGTCCCAAGCCTGAGTTTGCCATATGGTACAGCATTCCTTTTGCATATTCACTAGTGCCTGTGTCTTTGTTGCAAATCAGATCAATTTACACCCTCCCATTGATTCTATTGGCTGCTGCTTCCTGAATGTCTTTAAATATTAGATTAAATGCTATGCAAGCAGGAAACCCATTTACCGCTTGCACCAGCTAACTTATAGCTAACCTCCCCAGGCAGTTGGTATTCATCTAGAATCCATTGCCTGTATTACCTTTATTTGCTTTGTAATGCTCTGTGTGAGGACAGAAAAGCACAATGTATATTAGATGTAATTGTAATAATGATGATGATAGCCAGACAAATAGCTTCAATAAAACAGTAAAGGATAATAACAATGAAGTAATATGGCTTGCAATACAATAGAGCTATTATAACGAATGATTAGACAATTAATACATTAGTTATCATTATTAAATCAATTGCCTAACTATTTTTTAAAATGATTCATTCTTTTGAGCCATTTTTTAAGATTTATTTATTTTTTCCAAATTCTCTGACTTCGGCTTCTAAATTGAATAGAGGATGTCACCTTGGGCATTAGCAAACAGTTATCAACATTTTTCACAATTTTCTGACCTTTTATTGACCAAACAACTAATCGCCCTACAATACATTGCTTTAATGAGAGTTACAGTTTTTTATTTTGGGTTGACACATATGTGTTAATATTGCACTGATTAAAATACTGGATTATAATGGACGATTTTTTTACTTTACTGTCCTGACTGAAGTCACAAAATGGGGGGAAAAAAAACACTATGTGATCCAAACACAACACAGTTATTGCTGTCCGTACTGCAGGCTGCTCTCCTCCAACTGGATTTATGTGTTAAAAGTTGGGGAGTGAGTTGAAATTTGGCACTGGCTAAAGTAATGTTTAAAATAAATAACCAAAAAAAACAAAAAAAAGCTGTATACACTGTATTTCAGGCAGCAATGACTATGGTTTTGAAGTTAAGCAGTGATCCTGAAGCAGCATCAGAAGCTGCTCTACTTCAAGCCTAAATGAATATTACATCAAAGGCATGTCAAGAGGAGCCAAAGATGTTAAGTCCTGCCTTAATATCACCTCAGTATCAACAGTAAGAAATCTTATCTATTGTACGTGTCAACTTCATGATTATATTGTGTATTATCTCATCCTTTGATCTGGTAATGAACCTTTAAATCTAAAGTTTCTTTAAACAATTTAAAATATGTCTATAGGGTAAGAATTTAAAGAGTTAGTTTCAATCATTTTCTCAAATCATGCAGTGCAACCTCGATATTACTGGAGCTGTCTCAAGCATTGTCACTTGTCTCCAGGAAAGGGAGAAATTGGAAATAAGTCAACTCATCGCATTAGTCTGCGTTTGCCAGAACAGTGTTAATGCACAGCTAACAGACACATTACAGTATAACATCAAAACAGTAAAGACAAGTCACAGCTTAAGTTGTTTTTCCATCTCGAACTGTGACTCCAAAATTTTTTTTAAAAATAATAAAAAAATCAGGAGCAGCCAGAAAGTCAGAAAAAAGTCAACTCACACTCTTTCATCATGCCGATGTCAATGCAGCGTTTGAGACGACAGGCCTGGCAGTGACGCCGGTTGTCCTTTGTGATGGTGCAGCTTCCGTTGAACGGACAGGTGAAGGAGGCTTTACGCTTCATACTGCGCCTGTGGGATGACCTCATTAATTAGTCAAATTCTCATTTAGAACCATTTATTCTCTGTGGTGGTTCAAATACTCCATTGCAGGGACCAAAGGTGGTGACTTGATGCTTCGTGCTGCACGCTAAAGGACTTTACTACAAATCAAGATGCAACATATACATATGTGTATATATACACACATATATATATATATATATATATATATATACATATATATATATATACACACATATATATATATATATAAAAAATATATATATATATATATATATATAACACACACACACACACACACACACACACACACACACACATTTTACTTAAAACTGTTTTGTAATTACCAATTAAACTCTACCTGAACCATTCATAATAAGGTCTTTATTCCTTTCCCTTTGGCTGCTGAGACTTAATTATAATACTTCATTATTTTAGAATCCTTGACGGATAAAATAAATGCTGTGCGTTGTGTGTCTGTTTATGTGTGAGTGAATGTGAGAGAGCGAGCAAGAAAGAGGGTGAAAGGAAAAAATACAGAAGGATTATGGACTCCACTGAATAATGTATAGTGTTCTGACTGCATGATTGTTCATGCAGTCAGAAAGAAAATCATACTGTACCATAACAGACACACTGTATACTGGCTGTCATACACGCATCGTATGTTTGTTTGCTGTTATTGCTGTCATTTACTGCAGATATTCAACAAAAACATTCATTTCATTAATACATCAATTATTTAGGAATAACAAAAAATAATGAATTGGTGTCCATTTGTTATGCAATACTGATTTAAAAAAAATGCGAAACTGAGACGACCAGAAAAAGGTGTCCACTGTGTTGCAAACAGACGGTCAGTGTGAAATAACGCCTAGCGTAGGGAAAAAACAGAGTAAAAATGAACTGAATGTAACTAATGACAGTTTTGAAATTTGATTTGTACCGATTCAGTTAAACGTTGGCAGGAAAAACACTGTTACAGTATGATGCCCAATCTAAAGCAAACAGGGTGTATACTGAGAGCACCTCCTTCACAATGAAAGGCTGATAATCACACCTCAGATTCAACAAAGACGATACTAATCCCATCATCAGACACACTTAAAAACTCTTAAGAACACACAAAGCAAAATAGACAACATGAACACAACTCAAGGATAACACGCACCTGAAGAACCCCTTGCAGCCCTCGCACGTCATGGCGTTGAAGTGGAAGCCAGTGGCCTTGTCGCCGCACACGCCGCAGATCCGCGGGGCGTTGCGGTCGAACTCCTCCGGTCCGACCACCGACGTCGTCACCGTCATGGGCTCCATCACTGCCAATAAAAGGGAAACAAAGAGATTAGAGCCAGTTTCACTGCTCCTCGAATGAAACACAAACAGGAGAGGACTGACTGTGTGCTTCAATGAGTTTCACCAACCTACGACAAAGCTTTCCAAATCAGTTTGTTTCCTCTGCTCTGGTGTTGTGTGGGAGTGTTGGAGTGTGTGTGCACGATGGGGAGGGGTGTGTTTTCCACTTCTTATACTAACAGGTGTCAGGCAATTAGCATATTTAGCAAAAGGCATTGACAGCCATGCTTGCAGCTATTGGCTGAATGACTCAGCAGACACAGGTACACACACACACACACACACACACACACACACACACACACAATATTAAGAATCGTGAAATTACAATGTAAATTGTAAAAGAGAATTAATGAAAGAAAGAAGGCCATTTGCCAAAGGCTAAGAAATGACTGATACATTTAATACTGCCAAGATGAAATATTCTCTTCAGTGCTCATTTTACCGCGTACACACACACACACACACACACACACACACACACACACACACACACACCATCTGGCCGTCCCCAATGAAATAAACAGCAGCAGAGTAACACACACCGACAGGGCAACTGTGAGCAAACTAATCCATGTCAATCTGTACAGAAAGATCCTCTGTCTCAAGTCTGACTGAAGAGATGGAGATACTTTAAGGAAGTCAAAAAGGAGAGGGGAGAAATTATGGAGGATGAAAGGAACAGTGTACACTCTATAACAGTAGGTTTGATCAGTGGGTTCAAGTGGGGTGGGGGGGGGACCATACGGTAAAGGCAATGGGATGTGGAGTGAATTATTTTTGGCAATGCAGATTATATTAATGTTGTACAACTAACTTAGGTCTGGGTCTCAAGGGTGGTAAAAACACAACATCACATTGTACTACCTAGGGCTGGGCGATAAATCGATTGTATCGATTAATTCGAATTCGTAGTTAAACACAATTTATTTTTAGTTAAAATCTGGTTTCTCTTGAACTTCCACAACACCGGCGCTCCCGTAGGTCAGAGTGCGCTGACCCCTCCCCCCGCCTCTCCATAGATAAACACAACATGGCAGCAAGCCAGGATGAGCTCGTCCCCAAAAAAGTGTTGTCGGTTGTTTGGAACTGGTTTGATTTTGTGGCGTCCGACAGCGAACAAACCACGACCCACTGCAAAGTTTGTTTGAAAGCTGTTGCAACCAAAGGTAGCAGTACGACGGATTTATTCCAGCACCTCAAGCAGAGGCATGCAGCCGAGTGGGAGAAATGTTGCTTTCTGCGAGATATACAAGACCGCAGCCCACAAACACCCGCTAAAAAACAGTCTACAAAAAAAACGATTAAAATCGTAAATCGGGTTTGGTGTGAAAAAATCTGAGATTTTATTTTTAAGCCATATCGCCCAGCCCTAGTACTACCTTTAATATTATTTTTAAAAAGGCCCAATAAAGTGCCATCTTTACTTCCCGAATATGGTGTAATTTCACAATTCACTGTTTTACACAATGTTTTCCGGGAAGTTAATGTCCATTTCATTGTGTCTTTAAAGACTTAAAAATTCAGACTTCAGTTCAATTTGTCTGGAAGCTTTTCAGACTCCAACACCGGGGAACACTAAACCAATACGATCTTCTGTATTTGCTTTCATGTCAGTGCTAAAATTCAAAATGTGCTGAATGGAAATTTGTTTGAATTTAATACAAGCAAAAGACTCAATCTGTAACAAAGAGACCCGATGCAACAAACACTTGGTTAGTAGGTTTATGGTATTGTTACTTAAATAAAGAGATCTTCGCCTGTAGACAAACAACACTACGAAGTAAGAGAGGGAGACAATCAAATGAGGACAAAGAGAGGAGGGGGTACATGCAATGAACTCAGGCTCAGCGGGGGGAAACAGGTCACGTGGCAGCAGAATATAGCCTATGGGGAGTTGACGTGCATTGAAGTAGGACTCGGATGATGTCAAACGAGGACAAGGAGATGGGAGGAATTGGCGGGTGGCGAGAGAGAAATAAGAAGGGGAGAGGGGAGGCAGGTGAGAGCAGGAGCGAAGGATGGAGACAAACATAGTCAGACTCCATTAGCTCTCATTACGTTTTGGCTAGTTGAAGCCTCGGCACCAGTTCCCAGGAAAACATAACATATGAGTGAGCCAGGAGCTGCTGGCTGTGAAGCATCAATACTCGGAACGCAGCGCAGCACACATGCACGCACACTTCATTACAGCTGGAGTATCACTTTAATGCATGCTGAGTATGTATGCTGTTGGTTGGTGCGTGTGTATATATGGATATCATTTAAGCACAGGGAGTTCTCTCATGTAAATCATCGTAAACATATCGGGTGAGGTTCGGGTGAGGAGTGCGCTGACAGGACAGATGTGCCCACAAAAACAAGACACACAACATTAGTCATCGTGTCACGTAACAGCTTTTGTTTTCCCGATGCAGCAGCAGGTGAATAATAATAATAATAATAATGGAGAGACAGCGTGTCAAACATATCTGCAAAAACAACCCCAAAACAACCCACGGTTTCATTAGTGGTGCTGATTAACAACAGGGCGAGTAGGCTCCAGGTCTGTAATTAACAACTCTGGTGTTATTTCTCCTTTAATCACTCCTCTGTCACTTCTTTCCTCTCTTTATGTGTTTTCTCTCACTTGTTTCTCATTTGTAACACTGCTTAATAATTAGCATTTTTATTAATTTATAGACAGGATGATTAGTTGGTAGCGAAAAGGGGGCAGACTTTTTAGCTGCCAGTCTGACGGGTAATTGTATCTTTCCTCCTTTCTCTCTGTCTCTCTCTCTCCCCACCACTTTAACAATCTTTGTTCTGTTTTCTCATGCACACAGCAGAGGAGAGACGGGGGGGATGACACGCAGCAAAGGGCCACAGGTCAGAGTGGAACTCATCATTGTTTTTCTCTTTAAGAGGCAGCAGTCAGGTATAGAACATATTACAGAGAAGGAGAGAATGTCCTGGTTAATCATTTTTTCATGTTACATAGGTTTGATTAGTTTTTTTTAATTCCTTATGCAACAGTATTTTAGTAGAACAGTCAACCCCAAACATGTTATAGGAGATACAGAGATTAGTTTATCCAAGTCTTAAAACAAGTAGTTGCCCCCAGCCGACCGGGCACTGGCCTTTCTTTACTGTTTTTTGCTGTTTTGTCCATCTCAGCCCTGGTAGTGTTGCAGTGCTGAGCTCCTTTACAGCAGCTGGGCTCTACGGTGCGAGCATTTCGCTGCACATCCAAATAAAAATATAAGTTTATAATTGTGAGAAAAAATTCCAACAGGAGTTGGCAAAATTTGCTTAACTCAGATGCTAACAAATCTCCTCCTCCTTTCTTATTAGTAAAGAGCAGTGCACAAAACACATATGTTTCTTTTGCAGGTTAAAAAGACAAATGTCGGCAGGAGGTCAGTGTAACGCCAATTATGTGAGTAACTTGATGGCAGGCCACAATAAAATTGGCCAATGCCTGGTTGAAGTGCTTTCTGCACACTGGTGTCTGTACTCTGCCAAAGACTGTTTAACTCTCCAACACCACTGTAGAATCAGAGAGGGCTGAGAGTTTCCATTAGAGTCTTCTCTATAGCGGATCACATCAGTTTAAAGAGTCACATTCTCCCAGTTAATCTTAATCAGTCATATCAATAAATAAGGCTTATAATCTTTATAGTTTTGGACCAGGACCTTTAGTATTTGGATTGAGTAATGTCAGTCACATACATTTTTAATTAACATTTAAGTAAATATAAGCATGGGATTGGAAATACAACTAATCTAAAAGGACTCGTTTGGGATCAGGGCCAAAAAACCTGGTTGGGACATCCCTAGTTAAAACTGATTAAATCTCACTAAACCAGGTTGTGCTGTTTATTTGTATTCATTTATTAAATTTCCATGTTTACTTGGATGCTTAGGCACCAGTTATTAATTTGACAACCATGTCAACAAAACAAATTGAATTAGGAGAGACAAGAGATGCAATGCTGCTGTACAAAACAAAACTCCACTGTGTATAAAGAATATAGTGTGTGTCTGTGTGTGTGTGTGTGTGTGAAAACATCTGTGTATGGCGAGGACAACAACTTAATATTACAAGCACTTGAGATTACTTGTATGCAGCTTCAGTCAGTAAAAGTTGACAGTAATTTCTAATAACTATATTACTTCTGTATACTCTAGTATATGTATGTACAGTGTGGCAGTGAGGCTAGTTCTATAGTCTAGTTAATGCAGGAAAGCAGACGTTATAGTGAAAATTGAACTAGGACTCTATACATGGTACCATAGCTGTGCACCTTTAGGCTCCCCATCTCAGAAGAACTAGGTATAACTGTATTAAAGGGCTACAGTTACTTTAAAAAGGCATTTATGCAAATAAGTAAATAAATATGTGATATAATTACAGAGAAGTCTTTGCCAGAATAATTTTAGTGTCAGTATGATATGTGTAATTTTGTGCATCTTACACCAGCTGACCCAAGGATGGCTTGTTTACAATGTAGAAGTGGAACTGTGTTGTTTCGTCAAGCTTGCGCCGCCGCTGTTCACCTCGTATCCCCTGTCCACAGCTGTCTGACTCCTATCACTCACAGTCCTTGCTGGTGTTGACACAACAAAATTCAATGCTACGTCAATAGTGTTGCGAAAGACCGAACACTGAAAACTGGCTTTTGCAAAACTTTCAGAGTTTTACCAACTTTGACAAAATGCAATCCACAAGATGAATTCCCCCCTTCAAAGTTGTGTCCTGAGGGTGTACATGTGCAGACTGATATAAGCAAAACAGAGAAGGCTTAAATACACAAATTGTGGCTGTTAACCGTGTACTACAACATTTGGAATCAAATGACTGAAAACATAACAAAAGCATCAAACAGTCATCCTCACTTTTACCAGGACAGTCCAGGACAATCATTTTTTCCCTTGTTAACCACTGCACTGCAGTAGTATTCAATTCTCAGCTATGAAACAC